CGGCATAGAAATGCCCAGATGGCTGGTCGGGCCTCAGTGGAGCTTCATACTCTAATTTACTTCAGAAAACGGTATGCCATCTTGGAATGTTCATCATTCTTGTGCATGATTTTTTTATTTGCACATATAATTTTTTTCTTCCTCGTCTCATTTAAAGAAATTCATCTCTTGCTGTTGTAGGCCAACAGACACGGAGGCGAGAATAGTGAAGATAAGATCAAATGGTTTTATAGTATTTGTTCCCAAGTATGTTTCCCAAACCAATGGTTTTATAGTATTTCTTTATGGCGACTTTTACTTTGATTGATATGAATTGCTTTGAATTCCCTAAAATCAAATAAGAATGTTGATATTTGGAATTAGATATGAAGGAAGATATTGTCGAACAGAAAACCTTGTTCGATTACTCGTTTGGTAATCATCGTGGTTTGATCTAGTGGTTGATAAGGGTCAATGTAAATAGTAATAGGGTCATCCGATTATCTCGTGAGATTAGTTGAGGTGCGTGCAAAAAAAAAAGTACTCCCTTTAGTACAAGGGTAGGGTGGGAATTCGAACTTCTAAACTTTTGAGAAGTTACGTGTACCCAAACCAGTTGAGCTATATAGGTTAACGTATTTAAGAAGATCAAATATTTCTATAAGTTATCTGATGTCAAACGTTGTAAGGTTAGACAGTCGACTAGCGGGATTAGTCGAGTTGTGGATATTTTGATCTAGACTCTCATCTCTATGATATTCTTCAAGGAGAAAACCCGTTTACTGTGTTGGTGGGTTTGTTTGCAAACATTCCGACGATGAAGATTGCATTTTTCTTTCTGTTTTTCAGATTCGGGATCGAAGGACCAGTGTACTTGAATGCAAAAGGTGAGAAACAAAGTGGAGAATGGTTCGTAGATGAGCAAGAACAGAAGATCAAGAAGATGGATGGCAGCATCGCATACAACATTCTTCAGGCAGTGAGAATTCACATGGAGGTGGTGGAGCCACAACCAAATCGACCAAAGCTTCAGCTTACTCTTATTTAAACTGGTTAGTCTGTTTGCTTTGCCTTCCACCACTTTCTGTACAAGTAAAATGTGGGAAAGTAGTAATTTTCCTATTTTGAGAGTTTGGGATTTTATTATAGCAAATGTTCAAGTTGTTGAGAGTAGAGATTAATTGAGAGGAAACTATGTAAATTTGTTTTTACAATTATCACATATATCTTTGTTTTTAAGTCTGAATATATAATTTATTTTGAAGTTTTAATCTTTACTTGTTAGTCAAAATACACTTTTGATCCTTGTACTCTAGACGGTCTATTTTAGTTCGAGTACTTTTAAATGTTCCAATTGAGTCCCCATACTTCAATTAACCTGAAAAATGATTTTCACCATTAGTTTTGGGTTAACTTTTATGGGTTTTTCATTGCATTTTCAACCTCTAGTACCATCAYCCAGCCGATTTCTTGGTTTAGCTTTTATCCGTTTTATTTTATATATTATTTTCACCAATTTTATTTACATCTAATTTAATTTATTGTATTAAAAAAAAAAAATATATATATATATATATATATGTAATTAATAAATGATTAAATACAATTATATTTGTATGCTATATTTAGATATAAATAAATTTTAGTCAACTATATAATATCTTAAATTATTTTTTAATTAAAATATAGTGTTCAATCTTTCGTTTATTTTATTGTTCAAGTAGTCAACCAAAATAAATTGCAAAATTTTTATGTGAATTCTAATTATTTAAGTTATATTTTAAAATATATAGCTTAACATATAAATTATATGATGATTAGTAATGATACTGTATTGCTCTATATGATGATTAGTAATGATACTGTTGGAGCAATACGTAATTTTATATCAAACATTTATAGTTCAAAATATCTAATCTTTTGGACATTTGAAGATGTCAGTTATCGACTTTATAAATAGAGGTCATTTGAGAGCATTTAGAATCCGTCAGAGCCATCAGAGTAGACTTTGCAAAAAAAAGTCTGAAGAATTTTGTTAAACCAGAGAATTTAAAAAAGTCTGAAGAATTTTGTTAAACCAGAGAATTTCACCAAGTTGCTTGGTCGAAGATTTCAACAAACTCAAAGTCGAAAGTCTCAAAGATTCTTTAGCAAGCGAGAAGTTGAAGGTGCCAACCTCATTTGTTCCAAGAACAAACTTAAAACCCTCAAAACAAAGTTTGTGTTTGTGAGTTTGTGTTTGTGAGAAAGTATAAGAGAATTATACGTTAGAAATTACTACGTACATTTATCTAAATATTTTGTCAACCATAGCATTGGACAATTACTTTAAGCACCTGTCTTCAATCAAAAATTGTGAGTTTGAAATCACACTCGCACTTATTTTACGCAAAACAAAATATATGTATATTAATAAAATATTAATTAATGATAGACCGAACTTTTTTAACAAAATTTAACAAATTTTTTTTTTACGAAAGTATAAGATTAAGAACCAATCTGAGAGTTATTAAAAAATTACGATCATTTGGTGTCTATTAATATGTTTTTCTTTTCTTTTCTTTTTTTCTTTTTTTTTTTTTTTGGTTGAGAGACTAAAATGAGCGGATTTCTGTACCCGAACGTGCGCAAGATAGCATGTTTTTGGCAGTAGACAGAATCATGAAACTTGCAATCATCAGGCGACACGTGTCTCCGACACCTCTGACAACCTGGATTCTGTCTATTTAATCTCCCAAAGGTCATCATGCCCATTTACAAATATACCCTTCTTCTAATAGATTTGTCTTCACTTGTGTCAGAGTAATTTATTTTTAGAAAACAATATTTTTTTAATATTAAATTTATGTTTTATTCATTGGTTTTGTATTCCTCTCCCACATTGGTATGTGTAGTTTTAAAAATTTTAAATTTGACCTAGTTTTGTTAAATCACCCCATATGTATTTGATGATGCAACTGAGTACGATATTATCGATAATTTTCTAATGTGTTATTTTTTTTGGATGCATGACATGTGATTTTTAAACACGATAAAGAGGTGATATGTTGGTATTGAAAGAAAACTATGTTATATAAGAAAATTAAGAACATATATATATATATATTTTTTTTTTTTTTTGAAGAAAAAATGTGTGAACATATTTACTCAATCTACCAATGTAATTTTGAAAGATTTAACATATTACAAACAAAAATTTTAAATGATATTTTAGTTTTTTTTCTTTAAATTTTTTTTTACTTGGTTGATAGATTCGAAATATATAACCTAGTTAAATTAAACCTCGAACTTGATAAAACAACGAAAGTAAAAATAGTAAGAGTTCTAGAATTTTTTTTATTTTTGTCCTATCCCATTTCTTGATTTGGAGAATCAAAATTAGGGTTTGGGAAATTTTGGACGAAAATTTTATTGTCCCAATTTGGTCCACAAATTTGAAGTTATCATGTGGTCCATCATTAAGGTTTTTCAATTCCTCTCCTTTCAAGGTTATTGAGATGCACATGCCATCGTTTTTTTTTTTCATAATGAGAGATTTTAAATTTTTATCTGTCATTTTGTACAACAAAATTTTTATTTATCATTAAAATAAGTCAATAACTTTATAATTTGAATCATCCTGATGTTTTTTAATTATTATTTGCAAATCTCTCGACAATAGCTCATTTGAATTATAAATTTGTTAAATTTCAAGGGGGAAATGTTTTTAAAAGAAAGTTTGAAAATCATGAAAATGGTAAAACTTTATGATAATTTTTGTTCACTTGGAAAAATAAAATATTGTCTTTGATTAGGCATAGTGAAATATTTAGCCTATGTTGTGGCTTTCTTTCGTTTTCTAATTATTTTTTTTATGCAAAAAGGGAAAAAAATCTCCAAAAGGACAAAGAAGGAAAAAGACCTTTTTGACAATTGCACCTCTTGACTTTGACACTCTTTTGTCTCCACCACTTGAATACAAAATTTTCAATTTTTAGTATAGTATAACTTAACCTTTTAAAGTTTAAACTTCATCATCCAATTAAACTTTACACTTAAATAAGTAATTTGAAATAATATTCTTCCTAAATTGGGTTTAAATATTGTATAAAATCAATTAATAAATCATCTAAATTTGAACTAACATATATTTAACAATAACTATAACTATATTTAATTATAACCATATAAATATGACTCGTAAAGAAGCCACATATGTTGTTGTACTAAAAAAAACTATAATTATGAGATATTTAATTTCAAATACAAAACAACTAAAAAAAGTTTCAATTCAATATTTTTTTTAATAAATAAACCAAATTCAACATCAATTAAAAAAGATTGAGTCACACAAATAACCTCAAGAATGTTGATAATTTAGCCATAAATAAGACTGTCATTTACTTTAAAAGGGCAAGAATAAATTTTTTTTCCTAAGATTAATCATGTAATTTAGTAAATGACATATTCTTTTTCTTGAAGGTTAAAACTCTCCTACCTCAATTATTGTATTAAAAATTTCAACATTATTTAAAAAAAAAATTTTGAACTATCCAAAATATATTACAAAAAATTCGACATCATAAATTTTTGAAAAATTCTTAATTTAGTCTATATACTTTAAAAATGTTTACGTGGCCTTTCTACTTTAAAATTTTTTGTTTTTGTCCATGTACTCTTAAAAGAACTATTTTGGTCTTATTTGTAAAAAGAAAAAATTATTTAATTGTTAAAATTATGATAGAAAAATGCTATTAAAAACAGAGTTAAAAAATTAAAATGATCTTTTTTTTAAAAGTAAGGAAAAAATTTAAAAGTATAAAAGCTAAAATTAACCAAAAGTTAAAATTAAATAAACTAAAATATCTTTTTGAAATTACATTGTTTAAATCTAACACTAAAGTTAAAAGTAAAGGAACGGAAAGTTTTCATTTTTAACCCTAAAAATTGGGGGATTACAGAGAGAAGAAAAATGAGAGAGAATTGAGTTGAGTTAGTTGTAGATGGTGACAAAAGGGAAGAATGAGGAACGACAATGAAAATGCAGCGATCGCACGAGGGCCAAGCCATGGCCATTTCCATTTCAACAACCCAGAAAAACAAACAAACAAACAAACCCACACACAAATTCATCGTTTCCTTTCAATCTCCATACCCCACTTCCAAAACCAACTCTCCCTCACAATTGGCCTCCAAATTCCAAATACCAAATACCCACCAACCCATTTCAATTCCTCGAGCGGCGCAGACAGAGGAGTGAAGCTGACACAGACCACACAGACCCACAGAAGAGAGAGACAGAGAAATCGAAATAAATAGTAGCGGCGCCGGCCTTTTAGGGTTTATCGATTGTCTTCGCTTCCACGTTCTACCAGTGTGTGTTTGAGTGTTTCTTAAGGCGTTCGAAGGCTCTAGAAACTCCACGGACTTGAGCGAGAGATGGGGAGGCCTCGCTGCTTTTTGGATATCGGTATTGGAGGTGATCTTGAGGGCAGAATTGTGGTGGAGCTCTACGACGATGTGGTGCCCAGAACCGCTGAGAATTTCAGGGCTCTTTGCACCGGCGAGAAGGGCATTGGAACCCATACGGGCGTTCCCCTTCATTTCAAGGTCATTGCTCTGTTCTGTTTATCTATGTGGATGCGTGATTGTCCGAATACAAACTGGATTTCTTTGTATTTTTTAGTGTTTGGATGTGAATCTTTATGTGGGCTTCTTCCATTTTTGGTATAGCTTGTGTATTCGAGAAGCCGGTAGATTTCCTCTTCTTTGTGGATGGCAGTGGAATGATGGTGTTTGTGTCCTTGATCAGAAATAAAACAGTGATAGTAGGCCCCGTTTGGTGATGATTTCGTTTTTAAGTTTCTGTTTTTAAAAGTTAGGCTTGTTTTCTCACAATTTCTTGAGCATGTCTTTTACCTTCTTATAAAAACATTTGAGTTCTTAGTCAAATTTTGATAAGTGAGTTTTTGAAAATTACTTTTTATAGTTTTCAAATCTTGGCTCATATTTTAAAAATGTTTTTGAAAAGTATATTGTAAAACAAAGAAATACTATTTATAAGCTTAATTTTCAAAAATAGAAATTAAAAAACAAAATGGTTATCAAATTGGATCTTAGGTGCTAGAAAATTGAATGAAGAGCTTACCTAAAGGGCTTTACAAATTTGGGTCTTATTTCTTCTTTTCTTGCTTACTTTTGTTTTTCTCTTGTGTAAAGTGGAGAATTTTATTCGAGGTCTTTAATTAGTCGTGATTTGTTGATTAAAAATGTCAATAACAAGCATTTGACGAAGGTTTCGCTTCAACTGTCGGCTTTGTAATGTTGTTTTATGCTCTGTAATTCTGAAAAATCAAGGGGATTGTGTAGGAGGAGGTAGTGAAGCTTATTTAAATTTAAGTACTGGCATTACGGTTGGAAAGCTTTAGACTTTAGCATCTGTGCTTTATACACAATTGGTTGGACATGGTTGGTTCTGTTGCTCATTGGAGTTGGTTGGTTCTCACTTCTTGAATCTTGATTATTCTTGGAACTTTTCCATGAAGTAATGAAAATGGTCTATAGATAACAATTTCAAAATATTCACTTTTTTATTACAATATTACTTCATTGGAGTTGTTTGTTTAGTATTTGTTCTGTCTTATCCTGAACAGGATACATAGATGCTTATATATTTATTTTGAATGTAATTGAATTGTTCAGGGGTCGTGTTTCCACCGTGTCATAAAGGGATTTATGGTACAAGGTGGAGATATTTCTGCTGGAGATGGTACTGGCGGAGAGTCTATATATGGCATGAAATTCGATGATGAGAATTTTGAGCTGAAACATGAAAGGAAAGGAATGTTGTCTATGGCTAATTCTGGTCCCAACACAAATGGGTCCCAATTTTTCATTAGTACTACTCGCACTTCTCATTTAGATGGAAAACATGTAGTGTTTGGGAGGGTAGTGAAAGGAATGGGTGTTGTTCGTTCAATTGAGCACGTTACGACTGGTGACAGCGACCGCCCTACTGTTGATGTCATTATCGTGGATTGTGGTGAAATTCCCGAGGGAGAAGATGATGGGATTTCAAACTTTTTCAACGATGGGGATACATTTCCTGATTGGCCGGCTGACCTAGAACAGAGCCCTAATGAACTTGACTGGTGGGTGAATGCAGTCGATTCTGTAAAAGTTTTTGGTAATGAGCATTACAAGGTATTGGCACCAGATTTCATCATTATATTGTTATTATTTTGTGTGTTCGGGCCAGTTTTATTATTATTTTTTTTAAAAGAAACAATTTCATTGATGTATAAAATTACAAGGAGCCCTTAGCAGGGAATACAAAATTTTATTCTGTTTCATTAAATTATGTCTTCTGTACGGATGAGAAAGAATCTTGGATTTAGATTTTCTATTAGTTTATCATTGAATTTCAGTGATAGATTTCTTTTGACTCCAATAACGTCTCCTTACAGAAGCAAGACTATAAGATGGCTCTCAGAAAGTACCGGAAGGCTTTACGCTACCTCGACATCTGCTGGGAAAAAGAAGGAATCGATGAAGGTATATCTTCCTTTTGTCATTACTGGTAGTATCAGTAAACTATACTCTGAAGATATTTTACTATGAATATCTGAAGTATTCATGACTGCGCTGACTCTCCCCCTCCCCTCCATTGCTCCTCTTCTTTTCCTTTGAGTCTGCAGAGAAGAGTGCAAATCTTAGAAAGACCAAATCACAGATATTCACAAACAGTTCAGTAAGTGTCCTAGTGAATGTATTTCATTTTTTTTCCTTTTTTTTGGAGTTTTGGTGAATGTTTTTTTTTATATAGTTCAACAATTACGGGGTGGGCATCGAACCATAACCTTTAGGATTGTAATGAATGCTGATAGATTTATTTGAAAACCAATTTGAAAGGGGGTGATTGACACTTCTATTCCCATCTTGGGCTCTACCACATTTTTCATTTACTTTGTGCCCTCTCTAGCTTTTTCTAGGCTCTAAAGTCAATCCAAATCTGCTTCTCCTTCCAAACATTAGTAAACAATACTAATGAAATTTCTCGATCCAAAATAATTTTAGTGAACATAATATTTTGAAAGTTTATTCCCATTTTCACAATTTCATTAGTACTGATGTTCATTTCAATCTTCACCAAACTCATTCCTTGTTTGTAAAGTGGCATATAATTGAATGACGAAGACAATAGCTGGCGTTAGAAAATTCAACACCAATTTCGAGCCTTGGTTTTGCAGAACACTAAAACAGTGAGTTTTAAGATTGCAAATCTTCAAAAGCTTTTGTCAATGAAGATTGCTAAAATGCAACACACTGTTTGATGTAGGTCCTTAAACAATATACAAAAACCAAGTAAACTTTCCTTGACAGAGAACTTCAAACTGTGGTAGGAATCTTTAACATTTTTACAATAGAATATTATGTTTCTTACAGAATTTGCCACACCTGGTTTTGTAAATTATGAAATGTACATGTACGCCCAGAAATAGGAAAGTTACCGATTGAGGGACCAAAACTAAATGGTAGTGGAGGAACCCTGAAGGAAAACCTAATTCACAAAGGAGAGAATTTGGTGAGAGCACTACCGTCAATAAATGAAAGGAGACTATGGATACTATGGATAAATCAAGTAATACTCGTAGCTCCTTTTGGGTGTGAAGCTAAGTAATACTATGGATAAATCAAGTAGCCTTGGATGCTCCCTTGCGTAAATTGGACATGTATTTCAGATTTCTTGCAATGATGCATCTCTCAGATTATGTGTTGTGGTGTACTGTGCACATTGTCTTTTGAAGAATTATTTAGTTGGTTGAGTGCCAACTTTATTCTTTCATTGTATAGAGATATGTCCTTGCTTGCAGTGGTTGATTCATTTTCAATGTCATTATTCACCTTTTAAGTAAGAAATGATCATATTCTTTAGACATTTTCATCAGATTATACTTGAGTATTGTCTTTCTAATAATCACTGGCTGATTTGTTGATGTAGGCTTGTAAGTTGAAGTTAGGGGATCTGAAAGGAGCATTGTTGGACACTGATTTTGCAATGCGTGATGGAGACGACAATGTAAAAGCTTTGTTTCGCCAAGGTCAGGTTGGTATTTCTTATGGCTAAGAACGTGATGACTCAAAGGACTGGATGGAGAGCCATTACTAGACTGTCATTTCTGTTTTAAAAAATTTCTGAAACTCATATCTACACTTTATTGAATTTTTGGGTTAATGTACTTTTTTTTTTCCCAATTTTATTAAACATCTTCCCTTTTTTGAAGGATTCGATAGGTTCTATTTTGATTTTTCTTGAGTTTTTCCATGATCTAAATTCTTTTATAAACGTAGAAACCTTTTTCTTTTATGTAAAAGAAATGGACAATGGTCGACTAGTTTAGGTTGGAACCTTGGAGGAATGTGTTCTGATTCTATAGTGGTTGTAGCCATGTACCTAGATGTTAAAAATCTTATAAATTTTCTGGCAACCGAATGTTGAAGGTAGGACCAGATCATTGTCTCATGAAATCGGTTGAGGTGCACATAGTCTAGCTCAATAGAAACTCGTGGATTGGAAACAGAATGTTGAAGAAATGGGCTACAAGCTATCTTGTAGCTACTTCAACTACAAGTCCATTCTATTTGCAAGTCAATCGTTTTCTCCTCTTTTGTGGCTTCATGCTTTCCCACTCATTGTATTTAGGATTACTTTCTGTTAGCCTCCTTTTATACATGCTATTTGCAACCATTTGCAAGTGTATCTTATTGCATACTGGTGCTTACTGATTATCATATTCATTTCATATCCAGGCATACATGGCTCTTAATGACATTGATTCTGCTGTCGAAAGTTTCAAAAAGGCATTGGATCTGGCTCCAAATGATGGTAATGGCTTTTTACCAGGCCTCTGATGTTGATATTTCAAAGTATTTTATGTTATATATTTAGATGAATTATTGATATGTTTCATGATTTGCATGAAACGATTGATCTTAAAAGTTGGAATTTCGAATTTGAAAACTAATCCCCTTAATATCTCACTGGAGATCCAACTGCTTTTCCAGAAATCTGAAACATTATTTTCTTATTGGTCGATATTGGTTGTAGAAACTGGAGTCGGTAGTGACAGTGTTGGCAAAATTATTGGAAAGAGCTCAACTTAAAATCAAGAGGTTGGATATTTCCGCCATGAAATGTTGTCTAGAACACTATGTCTTGTCTTTCTCTGAGTTTTGAGTAGGTGTTGAAAACATGAGTTATGTAGGGAAACCAAATGTGACAGATTGGAGAAGATCTTCAATTTGATAGCTTCAAACCGTAAAATCTAAGATAAATGCATGCATTTATTTTTCACATGCTGTTCGAGTTGTTCTCCCATGGATGTATATATATACACTTAGCCTCAAAATTTCGTAATAATGTACTGCCTTCTGATAGCCGCCCATTTATCTCATAATATGGGCGTGGAAGTACATCTATAGTGATGAATTTCAACTTGTGTTTTATATTGATTCCTCTGTTAGAGTTTTGAACTTTCTAATCACTCGCTAATTTTGCGGGTTTCAGCTGGAATAAAGAAAGAACTTGCTGCAGCGAGAAAAAAGGTAATCGAAGTAAGTTTTTGCGTCGAGATGACATGTGCCGTTAAATGATGGGTTTGTACGGTATTTATGCAGATTACCGATAGACGCAATCAAGAGCGGAAAGCATATAGCAAGATGTTCCAGTAGCCGTGATTGGTATGCCGTGGGGTTCTTCAGATTTTTGCTTGTTTGTTGTGTGTCATTTTTCATGGCTGAAACTTTTCTTTATCCGTCTTCAATCAAGGTTTATGCAGTGCTACATTTCATACACGACGAGTTTCACCTGCACAAGATCGATCGATATTTGATGACAGAGGATCGGTCGTGCACCGATGTTTTAAACTGGAAGATGTTATAGTATAAGTGTACTGAGGCTGGATGAAACACTCCATTCAAACAATTTTGTGAAGAAGAAATGCCTGTGAGGTTAAAATATACATTATTTGTTAATTTTTGATGTCATTCTGGATGTTACACAAAGAAAACTTGAGGATGATTTGAATTTTCAAATAATTATTTCCGGACAGGTTTATGCTTGATTGTTTGGCCTTTGATAGTGAAGAATTTCAAAGGTTTTGCTTTTTTTTTTTTTGTCTGAAATTTATAAGGCTTGTTTATTGTTTTAAAAATGGTCTAGGAGGGTTTAATAATGATTCCATTATTAGTTTTCTATTTTTAAAAATTAGGTTTGTTTTCCTATAATGTTTTTTTTACCTTTCTCGACACATCTAAATTCTTAACTAAATTTTAAAAATTGTTAACTAAAAGGTCTACTTTTAGTTTTTGAATTTTGGTTGAGATGGTAAAGTTGTTTAAAATAATTGATAAGAAGATAAAAGGAATAAATGGGGAAGTAATGGTGGTAAGTTTAATTTTAAAAAAAAAAATTAAAATATAATGATTATCAAAGGGCTTTTTAAACAACGATATGTTGGATGGCTATTTTCTAAATATTGTTTTTGATGATATCTTTATTTTTTATTTTTAAAAACTAAGTTAGGTTTATTTACTACTTAATTTGTTTCTTTGGAAATATTTTTAAAATCTTAAATCAAAATGTTTAACCATAAAATATAGTTTTTTGGAAACTCCTTTTATTTTTTTTTAATTTTGCTATAAACTAAAAAAAATAATAGAAAATAAGTTAGTTATAAACAAAGTTTTACATAACATTTTCAAAGCCAACCTTTTTGTATTTCAGTTTTGTAAGATGAATTGTTTTATCATATATATGTGTGAACTGTTTTGAAGTACACGAGAGTATCAATCAGTTATTATTTTTTAATTAAATTATAAATTTAGTTTATCTAATAGCTCTAAATGAATCTCTAAATTATTAATTTTATGTTTAATAGACTTCTAATAGTAGTCAAATTATTAACAAACTTTTTTAAGTTCAAAATATATTAGACATTTTTTTATATTAAAAACTTATTAAATAAAGTTTTTTTTTTTAAATTAAACTTATAATTTAACAGAACTATATTTTAAAACCGATTTTTAATTTTCGGTTGGTTGGGCTTTGGATCCCACATTGACAAGACCTGTTGTCCCATCATTTTCTGCATATAATAGTAGCTACTAAATTTTACATTCATTTTACAAAAACAAACTCATTCTAATTCTAACTTGTTTTTTTTTTCCTTTTGATCAGAGTTTTACTTCTCTGTACCAGAGGCATCCACACCAAGGAACTTTTGATAAACACGAGTAAAAACATAAGCCTAATAAGTCTAAGGTAAAGTATTTGTTACATACATGTAGGGCCAATGAATTTTGGCCACGTGGACTAAAAATTGAGCAAACAAGTTGAATTTCTTCCCTACGACAGATTTACGAATACACACCAGAAGTGAAAGGCAAGCAAGTGATCAATCAAAGTTGCACAAAAGATAGTGAACTTTGGCAATGGATCAAACTCTCGAGGGCTACAGATAGTTGTCAAGCCCCAAGTCCCTTAATGCATCGCTCGCGGCGTCCTTGCAGCTTTCATGGCTTTGCTTCGCTCTTCGAATGTATTTCTCGACTCCGCTTTTGAGCAGAAGAGCTCTGTACATTATAGGATTTACTTACATATTTGAGTGGTAAGCATTATATGATGAGTAATGGAGATTAGTTTGAGAGTGGACCTGTTTTCTGGGTTCCTCACTACGAGATTTCGGATCATGTGACATGAGTTCCTTTGCATTTGTTGAGCTGAAGGGAACTTCTGCATAGCTTGAATGGCCAGATCTCCGGCTCCAGCTTCAATGGCTCGTGTTGCATTTTCTGGGGATCTTAAAGTAAGCACTGATATAATCGACATTACCTATGCCAAAAATTAAGAAGAATTTGAGACTAAAGTTGATATCAGATTGAATGCCATTACAGAATTACATAAGCCATGACTAATAAATCAGTAGAATGTTAGCAAAGATCACTATTTGCATTAGGAAAAAAACGAAATAAGTCCTCACTAAAAAAGAGAGGGAGAGGAGAACCGAGAAAAAATACACATGATATTCACAACATTCCATTAACATTATTCATAATCTTAATGATCGGTTGACAACTTAGGATGTATATTCTTTCGATATATATATATATATATATATATTTTTTTTATAATTGTGCATGTTTGAGCCAGCTTGCACACACCTTCTCATGGGATAATTGTCTGACCCTAAATCCTACTACATTTGGTTGTGTAACTCGTAGGATATTAAATCCTACGTGGTAACCATCATGGTTTAAATTCATTCCCTACATTGGTCCTTATTTGTAAATAAGATCAAATTTCATTCTTTCAATATTGATTCAACTATCAAAATTTTCATAAAATAAAATTATTTATTTGACATCATTTTTATACAACTCAATTGTGTTATATATTAAGAGGATAAATTAATACGGCTAAGATAAATGTTTGAGCAAAAACTTTATTTTGAATTTTCTAAAAGAAGCTACAAATATTCTATTTCTATTGATATCAATGTCTATTGAAATTTCCCTAAAAATCTTATCATCGACATATATTTGCTGATGGTTTGGTGATATTTTTAAAAATAAAATCTTCCCCAAGCAACAGAAATAGAATGGAATGTGATGTTACTGCAATGTCAAGAAGTCTATATCTAAAATAGTAAAATTAAAAATATAAAAAAAAAACCTGGAAATTTCATCATTACTGATAAGGTTTGCTTCCTTACCTCCTGCAGAACAGATGGATCATCACTAAATCTGGACGAAAGCCTGATTAGTTTATCCAATCCTTTCTTTTCAATAATAGCACTCTTGTTTGTGTCGCTTCCTGCCAACTAAGTCAATAAGAGCAATGAGATGAATATCAACACTGAGAGTTATTTGTAAAATACGACGGTAAAAGATGCAAATGGTAACCTCACATACTTTGTAGATCTCAGGAAAAGATCGATAAGACCAGTTAAAGAAGCTAGCCGATTAAAATCGTTGCCCACCACAAAAAGGTGCAGCCATGAATTACATATAACAAGCTCATATACAATTGCCATTATTGCATCCTTTAAGAAGCTAACAGAACTACCTTTCCTCGCTCAAGTTACATCTAATAATTGAACGTGTCTGTTGGATTAACCAGCTTTAGTATCTTAAGACCACAGACCGATTTTTCATTCCGTATTCTAAAAGCAAGTATTCCAATGGTCTACAACTTAACAGCTAAAAACTTGAAGAAAGAACATGGAGAGAGAGAGAGCGTTTAAAAAGCAATTGTTTAATTCTTTTTAGAGAGTATTTCTTCAGTAATAGACCACAAAAGATCAATTAAAAGATGTTGAACCAGCTGACAGTGCAAGAGATAAAAATGCAGGGATGAATCTACGATGGACTTTGCACTAAACAATTCAACCACTGCTTCAATGAATTGGAAACAATAACTCCACAAAACATGATTATAACTATATACCTTTGATAACAAAGAACAACTAGTTCTAGCTACGATTTTATTGCCTTGATCACCACTGTCATCAATACACCTCAGAACTGCATCAATACCACCATTTTCAGCTATGGATTTACAAATTTCATCCTGCATTTCATGATAAACAATTGAATAGGGAAAAAATAGAACACTATCAGAAAAACCAATATATCACCTTTCTGGTTAGTAATAATATATCTAAAGATGTGCGGAGGAGGCAGAGTATACATTTCTCATCAAGTGGGGGAACACTCAAATGATTACTATGATGCCGCCCACTATGAGATAAAATAACTACAGACAAAATCGAAATATGTCTCCCAACGAAGTAGATAGTCCACCAACCACATTATGCAACAAAGATCAAGCAAGAAAGACATTTTGCCATTTTACATTAATATCATCCAAGTATGTTTGCTACGAAACTTCTAATAATTACGATTTAGTGGAAAAAAAAAGTTACATACTCTTAAGAAACTTCTAATAATTATGATTTAAGTGAGAAGAAAAAAGGTCACATACTCAACATCAGTTAGGTGTATGGCTACAACCAAAACTATTCCAACAACTTAATCTTATCTATCTATTCACATTTACGAGAAAATTTAATATAAGAGGCCTAATAAAATTCCTCGTTCTAATATTTTCTGTGAACTGAAAGAATCTCTCTAATCTATTTACATTTTTAATTAACCCCCCGTTCTTGTATCTGCTTTGAAGTGAGAATTTTTCTTCCCATCCAAATTTGAAAACTTACATTAACAGCAACAGCTTTTAAAGCAATGCTTGCTGAAACCAGACCAGCTGAGCTAAGCCCATCATGTAGCGAGTCGACAAGAGCATTAGCAATTCCAATTTTTGCAAATCTTCGGGCATAACCATAAACCTGAAGTTGAATCAAACACCCAAAAATTAAGAGATGCCAGCAATAAAAGGACCAATTAGTTGATTCAAAGACTTCTTTCTTTTAGGGACTGGGGCAATGAGTCAAGTCATCACCCATAACGTAGGCGGTAATTCCAAAGAATAAGACCACATACTTGAGAAGCAACTACACGATTATCATCAGGTGTCAGCAGAACCCGAATAGCATCATATAAGCTGCTAATACAGTCTCCTCTGTTCGTACTCAGTGTCTGCAAAATGAGCTCATCAATTTTCATCTCCATGAATGATTCTTTAAGAACCTCATTAGCAGTCGCAGACGCAGCAACAACAGCAAAACCACCATGTAAGATGTCAACGTTTTGCTTCCCATTATTTAGAATGCCCATGACGATTTTGGGTCCATTGCTGTTCCGAAATATTTCCGTACTTTGTAAATCTGCAAACACATAAATATTGCAGACATTAAGTATGAACCTCCAGCAAATTCATGCGATAAGACTTCCAGAAAACCTAAACTTGTATACTACAAGCAAATTGCTCATCAACTAACTTAAGATTTAAGCATATCATTTTAGATTATCACGCAGTTGCTTGTTTTCCCTCTATTCACTCTCCAATCTCTATAATTAAATCATCAATTGCGCAATACCATGAAGCAACGACACCATTGTCTTCAAAGCGGAAGCAACAGCACGCTCGCAATCACTTGGAATCTTAGAACAAAGAGAACACAGCAATCCCAATCCACCATTTCTCGATGCAATCGACGCATTCCCCGATTCCTCATTCGCTCCGCACAGCTCCGATGTCCTATCAAACAATACCACCATCTCGTCGACATCACCATCGGTGATTCCACCCTTCAAATCACCGTCCAATTGTTTCAGCCTCTCCAAGCTCTGTACCAAAGGGTTATCCATCGCGCTACCCTCTCCAGGAACACACCTCACAATGCCTGCATACAGAAACAACAACAATCGGAAAAATGCAATGGATGATTACGGATCACAACGACAAGCCATTCCCCGGAGGGTTCCACAAATCACCTGAGAGATCAACGCCTTGTAGAGTTAGGGTTTCGATGGCATCCTGGAGAGCCTCGGCCGGATCCATCCCCAGGTCCTCCACATTCTCTCTTACGACCTCGTCGAAAGCTTCCTGCGAGATCGTGCGGAGGGTTTTGGGTGGGCCCATCTCCTCCGAGTTCCGTCGGGTCGGAGGATGTGATGGCAGCTCTGTTGTGAAGAAAGTGACAGAGATTAGTGTCGGGTCGCCGGAGGACGGAGAGCCGGGAAACAGTTCGGTGATTGGGAAGCACTGAAATTCAAAACCATCGCCATGGCTAATGCTTTGGGCTTTTGGGTGAGATGGGCTAGAAATGTAATGGGCCGTCTGTGATTGGACCGTGTGGGCCCAACACATTTTTGGCCCATCAAATTTGAAGCCCCGGAGAATTTAGACTTCATTGTTCCGTGTAGTTGAGGACTCGAGAAGAGAAATAGAACTTTTGATCAACGAGGAGAGGTTCGTCATTTAGTTCCTAGTATTATTCTTTTGAATGGAGTCATCAGCTCCCGACCATCCAACCAATCCTTTTAAAATTTAATTTTTCATTACGTAAATGTTTCAACCACTTTTGTTATCATGCATGATATTTAATTTGACAATAAAAAATAAAATCTAAAAAGTCATTATTTTCTCCTTTTTTTTTAATAGCAAAATCATTATTTTCTGAGATGACTACAAACCTACGTTGAATATTTTCAATGTAATTATAAATTGTAAAAAAAAAAAGAGTAGAATATACACTTATTATTAATTTGATCAACGTCTAAAGTAGGAATTGAACCTTATTGAACCTTTGACTTAAAGATAATTGATGTCATATCAAATTATGTTCCAAATGACTCATTGATTTTTTTTTCTTTGGCACAATAAGAGGATGAAGAAGAGATTGGATCCTCCAATTTTTATAGAAATAAATAATGTCTTATGGATTTGATATTTAGTTTGGTAAAATTAACCATCCATGGACCTATAACAATCCTACAGAATAATTAAACCTAAGAAAAGGGATTGAAATTTGAATTTCCATTAAAAAAAGAAAAAAGAAAAAATCAGCATCCAATAAAGAAACAATAGAAAAGGGCCATCAAATAAGAGAGACATTAATTAGGGGCAGTTTGGAGTCAGTTAGTAAGAGTAGTAATAATAATAATAATGAGAGAGTAATTATCTTTTTACTCAAGTAGGTGAGGTCCACCATTAATTTTTTTTTTTACCCGTGGGAAAATTGACCACTTTTTTTTTCTTTTCTTTTTCTTTTTCAAGTGGGTGCAAAGAGAAGTATGGTCAAAAGAGGAATGGACCCACTGTCAAAGAGACATCTTGATCATAAAGTTAAATGTCTATTTTTGCTATGCCCCCCACTCAGTTAGTTAGTGACTTAGTGGAATAAGTCCACTTAGAATTGCAAAAGTTACCATGATGTGTGATAATTGTACTTGCTCACCAGAAAAATATGAACCCTTTTTGGAAATAAATAGGGTTAAATTATCATTTCCATTCATGTACCGTTGTAAAAGTCACGAGACTACGAGAAGTTTTTTGATAAGGTCACACTAGAGAGAGGCCTTGATTACGATTCAACTCGTTGGAGTTTAGCATGATAAGGTGGTTATCAGTCACAATCTAGGAGGTTAATAGCAACTCGACGGCTCGTAAATGCCTTTGGAGCTATTGGAGTTATGAGTTGAATAACGTTTGTAACTTTTCTGGGTCTTGTGCCTGATCAAACCTCTTGAACTATTGTGGGTATTTAGGCTAGAAAGCTCAATCTCACTTGGGTCAATTTCGAGGCATCTAATCTCATTTGAGGCAAACTACCAAATGTCTCGTATCGTATTTTGTACTTAGAACAACTTTTTAGTTTCATCCAATCCACCGAGACTTGGTGGCTTCCCGGTATTACTTTAATCGAGCTACAACTCGACTTTCATCTCAAGCTTTGTACAAGCTGGTGTCTTCACATAACTACTTAGGTGGTACACAACTTGGCCATCCATGTGGTACACAATTTTTAAAAATTCCACCCATACAATATTTGTTATATTCAATAATTTATAAATAAATGTATTTCACAACTAAAAAATAATATTAAAAATTAATTTAACTTGTTTCGAAATAACTTGCTCGACTACTCACATGAACGGGAGTACTCAATAACACCTTTTTAGTCAAAGATAATTTAATAAAATAATCTAAATGGTCTTTTCAGACAATTTTCAAAACCTCCAATAAATATAATAAGAAAAAAAAAAAGAATAATTAAAGAAGGTTGCTATTTTTCTGACATTTTAGTTGAGAGGCCTCAAATTCAATTGAAGCCTTAAAAATATTAATTTGGTTGTGTTGGACATCAAACCAAAATTTTCATATAATTGCAAAAGAAACCAATGCACCATTAAGAGTGACATAAATTTGACCCACCAAACTTTGCATTATTTTGTTTTTCTACCACAAAACAATATGATTCATGCAAATCTCCACAAAATATATATATATATATATAGTAAAATAATTTATTAATACTAATAGATCAATAATTAACATATTGTACACCAAAATCAATATTTATATTATTTACTAGTTTAAATAATCAATTTTAAAATGCGTTTAGTACTTTTACCCGGAAAAATAAATAATAGGTTTACATTATTATAAATTAAATCTATCTATTATGTTTCTAAATCTTGGAGTGTTTCAATTACCTCTCTAAACTTTTAATTTTGGTTCTAATAAATTTTTATGGTTGACGTCAAATTATCACTTAATTCAATCGACGTATCATGTCAACATTTAAATAATGTTCTTAAACAACCACTCATTATAATCAGGATCAAAAGTCTAAAGATATAATTGAATTTTTTTAAAGTTCTGAGTACGAAACAAGAAAAAGGAAAAATTTTATCCCAATTCTCCTCATCCTCAAGAAAAATATTAAGGAACATTTTCCTCTCGCCCCGATCTCGATCTCGACCTCGACCATAACTTCGACCTAATCCATTGGAATTTTTTGGGCCCACGAGGAGAAGGAAGAAGGGGTAGCATAGGAGGGGTAAAAGAGGGAAAAGAAGTTATAAGCAGCCACTAAGGCCGGGAGGTATTATGGAAATTGACTTTGGTTTTGTTATTATTCCTCCACTATACTAAGTGGGTTTGTTACATCATCACATAAAAAGCGCACCATAAAAAAAAAATAAAAAAAATACTATTTACACCAAATTTTTCTAATTTTATTTTATCAGGTAAGTGATGGGAGATTCCAACCCACGATTTCATGGTTAGGGACAGGTGTCAATTACCACTAAGTTAAGTTCATGTTGACTTCATTTTTGTTCATTATAATCTTTTGGTCCTAATTTATTGGATTGTGATAAGTTTTTATTAAGAGATTTTCCTTCTATATAAAATATGTGTTAAAATTTTGCAAATAAGAACTAAAATGTTTAAGAAGGGTTTAATATAATTTAATCGGCATGTGTTTTTCAGTTCAACTAGACGTAGGGAAACCTAAAATTCTTTAAAGAAAATGAATGTAGAATATTAATTTTACCGCTTATTTTAGTTCAAGATTCGATCAAATTTAAAATTTTAAGTTAAAAATGATTCATTCACTCAAAATAAGCCTTTGGAAAGATATTTGTGATTAGAATATTACAAAGTGGGTCCTATAATTTGGACAAAAGTTTGAACTTGGTTCAAGTTTCAATATGGTCCTTCTTGTTTGAGTTTAATTTCATATTGTTTGGTAAAATTCATGAATAGTCTCTAAATTGAGTTTTATCCAAGTTATTCAGATAAAAAATTATTACGTAAAAAAATAATTATCAATATAATATAACCAGCACAATTTTTAAACTTATAGCTACCACATTGAAACTTTTTTGAAGCTAGGGACTGAATTAAAATTAAATCCAAAATATGGGATCGATTTGATATCAACTAAAAGACTAAATTGAAAATTTTAAAATAATAGAGGCTAAATTCAAATTTCCTCGCATGATAAGGATCACAATTGTAATTTAATGAATATTTTATCCTTGTATTTTGAGTAGAAGAGAAATAAATTTCAGAATGAATAATGACATTGTAATGCCACAAATAGTGTTTGCTGCCAAAAATAATGATTAAATTAATAATGTATGGTTTTTTTGAGGCAAGGATATTTATTATTGAGGCACTGTGCACATGGACAGAACACACAGATTGCATGGTTGGATTTTTTTTCTTGAATAAAATAATATTGTAAAGTACTTGAAAAATATAGTTTTAAAGTGTGACATTTGGAATTATAAGTTAATATTTGATGTTGGGTTAATTTTAAGTTTAAATACTATTTTGCTAGGTACTTTAAAAAAAATGTATATTTTCGTTTCGATATTTTAAAAAATGATTATATTAGTCTCTATTTGCAAATTTTTAACACAATTTTTATACCCAATAAAAATAATTTAATACAAATCTATGACTACATTTAATAAAATCACATTTTAAAAATACAAAGATCAAGATGAATGATTCGAAAGTACAAAACTAAAATGAATACTAGTTGATAGTATAGGAATCAAAATTTAAATTTTAAAAGTACAATTATCAAAATAAACCAAACAAATTTAAACCTCATTTTTATTAATCATCTTTAAACTAATATTGAACCCATCCAGAAAATTTAAAAATTAGAAAAAAAATTGACGTCAAAATAGACCTTTTTAAAAATTGAGCTACCTAAACTCATACAGATTAAATTAGCTTCTAAACTAACCAAGTTGACAAATATCGTCATGATCTAAATATTTTGGTTTYAAACTTTAAAAGACGAGTTGTTGAACCATTTGAATCAATAATTTTGTTCGATTTTTCTTTGGATTTTTTTTTTTCAATTTCAACTTGTGCCATTTTTCATAATAAAATAAATGTGTTTAACACAAGATCGTCATTTTATAATACATCCAAGATAAAAGATTATAAAACATGGATTAACTACTCCCCATCTACCATCAAAATTTATTCAATTTGACTTTTTGTATTGAAATATTATCTTCAAAAACCTATTTTCTTTAAGAGTAATTAGTTCAAAATTATTCACAAAACATGCCATATTAAAAACGATCAAAAAAGTAATTTTTCTTTATTCGACAAAATCCAAATATAAAACACGCGTTTTTTTTCCTTTTCTTTTAGTTCACACATGTTGATATATTATATGTTATGAACCAACCATAGTTTAATATAAACTTGAAAACATGTCATCAAGGTTTTCAAATAAGTCTAAAATAAGTATTATAAAAAATATGATAATAATGGAGAAACTATTAATAAAATAAATAAATAAAATGGTTGGTTGCGGAAAATCTGAGTAACGTATAAAGTTATTTTAAGAGATTTGTAAGCATGTGGGCGAATCTGCCAACTCTTTCCTTTCCTAGCCTTGAGATCCGTACATGCATTGTGGATAAGAAAGTAATTAATGGCTAATCTTTTTGTTTTTACCACATTACTAATATTTAATGTATGATTTATTAAATACATTAATAAATTTAAAGTTAAATTATATACTACATCACCATATATACAAATTCTAATTTCTCAGATATTTTTCTCTCTCTCAAACGTCATTTATCTCGCTTGTGCTCCTTTGGGGTGATAAATGATTTTAAATCCCAAGATTTTGGGTCAATTCCAAATAATTTTTTTCTTAAAAAAAAGTAAATATATTTAAAAAAATACTATAGACTAAAATATATATGTGTAAATATCATTACTTTACTTTCCCTAACTATAATAATTCTCCCTCGACTCCATTTTCACTCAAAATTGTCAAATTGTTGATTTGGGAGTAATGGGGTTTTCTTTTAAAATATTAAAAAAAAAACCTCATTTCGGTTCTAAATTTGTGGAGTACACTTTTCTGTTTTCCAATATTTGTTTTAATCTCTTATTTTTATTTATAGGTTTTACATCATTTAAATCGATATTCTCATTCCAATAATTAATAATCAAAATCATAAGATGGCTCTCTCCTTTTGGAAATTGTTTCCAAATAAGTTGATTTCAAAATATAGTTTTAGTAAATACAACGTAGCATTAAAACAATATAAATTTATATTAAAATCAATAAATTAAATTACATGCACAAAATCAAAAATTAACCCATTTGGTTTCTACTTGTAAAATTTAAAAACAGATTTTATACCCAACTAAAAAATATAATCCTTTAATATAAATTCATAACTACATTTCAATAAATTTAGTGAATGAAGTGTTATATTAAAATTATGATCGAAAAAAATAAAATAAAAATGAAAATAAAGGAATCAAAGTGGTAACTTTTTAAAAGCACATGAATTAAAATAGACGTTTTGAAAGTACGTGAACTAAAATGAAAAAAAAAAAATACAATGACCAAAATATAGAGACCAAAATAGTATTTAAACAAAAATTGAAGTATTGTTCCCTTTTGTTTTGGAGGCAAAAAATAGAAGTAGTTGGGATCATTTGTGTTGTGTCTTCTCCTAAGAGACTAAGAAACACAATTATGACCCATAAACTATCTCCCTTTGTTTTTGTTGGGACATTTCTCAACATTTCACGTGGGGGCAAAATTGAAAAACATATACATATATAGCAAATTTAAAAATAATAATAATAATCACAAAAGCAAATAAAATTCATGTTGGAAATCAAATCATTGTGCATAACTTATAATTTTCATGAAAACATGATCTTTCTTTAATTTACAAAATTGATGTTATGGGAACTATTTAGGAATATTTTTGAAAATTTGCCCACTCTAAATTAACGTAAATTTAATACTCGTCCAAATCAGTATGTTATGTTTTGAGCTATTATTATTTGAGATAAATGTCACAATATATGTGGAGAAAAACGTTTTAAATTTTTTATGAATTAATTATGGTTTTATTTTGGATTAGAGGGAAGGAAAAATAAAAAAAGAGTTGAAAGGGACTTGTAGAAAAAACATTGAATGAACGTAACTAAAAAATATTGTTTCTCACATCGGAGGAGCACACATTTGAAAAATGAAATTTAATGAGTTTGTTTTAAATATAAAATATATGGTTTGGTCTAAAAAATAACTTTGTGTTTTTGTTTTTAAAAAACGTTATCGGATGATGTTATTGTGCGTATTAAAATTATTGTTCATGAAAAACATAGTCTATTCATGAAAACACGTTAATAAAAAGTATATTTATTTTTAAAATTTGTTCTAACAAATATAATACACTTTTGTAAATAGTTTCCAAAGAAACTATCAATTAAATAATAATTTTTTTATTTTGTTTTTATAAGCTAACACTTATTTTATATATATATATATATATATATTTATTTATTTATTTATTTATTTATGTTAATATGAGCCAGGTTCAAGTGGTTAAGATTTTATCTACCCAACAAGTGATTGTAATAAAAAAAATCATTTTTATTTTGTTTTTAGATAAAAAAACTCAAAGAAGTATTTTCTTTTAAAAAAGACATTATGATTANTTTGAAAAATCAATAAATGCATAGGAACATTTTTTATCCATCCAAGTTGCCTTTTAATAAAAAATAATGAAGGACAATTACAAAATGTCTATATATGTGAAAATGCTTTAAGATATAATATTGCTTTGTTTATTATAATTTGAAACCATTTGGTAAAGTTAAAGAAAAAAGTAGTCTTGAAAGGGACTTGTTTATATCGTCAGTAATTAAAGATAATTTATTTTATATGAAAGATTTCAAAAAGCTAAATTTGAACTAATTTAATAAATATATTTCAAACCAATAAAATTTTACCATTTGAAAATTCAAAGAGTCATACCTAATATTAAATTGTGCTTTTTCCCAAATAAAAGTATGTATTTCTCAAAAGTTGATAATAATTGTTCGAGTTAAAAGATTATTGATTGATCATGTCTTACGGATAAGATTAAAATTTAAATCATTCAATAAAAATTTAGTTTCGAATATATAATCCAAGTTGACATAGAATAGACACGTAATGATATTTAATTTGTTAGATTAAAGTATATAGAGTTTCTAATAATTTCTTATATTCGAATTCAAAATATTAGGATTTCATTATTTTTAGAGTATTTGGTTCATAAATAATCCAAAAGTATGATCAAAGGTCAAAAAGAACAATATTTGCGAAAATACTCAAAGGGCAGGAATGCCTAATATTACAAAATTTCTCCTCACTACAAATAGAAAATGAGTAATTTCCCCCAAATTTTAATTAAAATTCACATTTTAAACCTAAAAAAAATACTGTTTTTAAATCGAATTTATCGAAACAAAAAAGTGAAAAGCTAAATCCGTTAATAAATAAATTCGAATAATCATATACTTATCTCCAATAAAAAATTCATAAATTTAAACTTCTGATTTTTTTAATTGATGAAATATATTTTAACTAATTAGTTAACGTTGGTTGACTTCAATAAACCTATCTTAAAGCCATATAATAATAATAATAATAATAACAACATAGCAATAATAAAATAACTCTTATTATTGTATAAGATTCATATTTAAAAATTGCTACATAAACTCTAGTGGTCTAGTGGTGGGCCCACTCAAACCCTAAGCCAAAATATTTGAACCACAATTGTTAATTTAAAATAAAATATTTAATTTGCAAATATATATATATATATAGGGTGCAAAGTACAATATTGTCTTGTCCTTTGTGATTGGGACCATACTCAGCCATCACTAATCTAATCTACCTCTATTATTTTGCCTTCCTAACTATCCCAAAATAAATGCATTAAATCTCCATAATTTTTATTGGCAAAAAATAAATAATTTTTCTTCGACTTGCTTCAATTTGAACTTAATTAAATTACCTGATAACTATTTAAGTTTTTATTTTTAAAAATCAAATTGTTCATGTTCCTAAAAAACACTTTGATTCTTAGTCAAATTTAATCAAATTTAAAAAACAAAACCAATTTTTTTTTAAAAAAATTAGGTTAGATTTTGAAATCATTTTTAGAGAGTAGACAGTAAAAAACGTTTTTAGACTCAATTTTATGAAATGATATTCAAATGGGTGTAAGATAGCACTATTTCTCTCCAGAAATCTATGTTTGAATCTCTCCAGCAAATGTGATGTAATATATATTAAGAAGACTTTATTTTTGGTATTTCAATTTCATTCACTAAATTATAAAATTGTGATGAATCAATATTTAAACGGTTAGGCCAAACTATGATAATTAACGTAAAAAAAACGAAGTTACATAAATATCTAAATTCAATCTCAAAAGTATATTTAACCTAGTCACATATCAAAAACTATTCAAACTTAATATAAAAAATCCAGCCAATATAAAGACATATATTTCATTTTTTTATACGACACATATATCATATTAGAAAAATATATATTAAAATACCTAAATTATACTCAAGAACATTTTACATGAAAAAGAAGGAGTACAATCCAAACTTAATTTAGTAGATAAATATTGTTGGAAGCTTCCACTGAACCAAAAAAAGTACAATAGTAAAAACATTGATTTTTTTTTTAAATTCTAGATGATATGGAAATAAAATTAATACCAATTATGACATGTTAGTTAGATGAGAAGGTGGTGTCATTAACTAAAAGTTTTTTATATTTTGGGAGGAAATATTTGGACAGTTGAGAAAAAAAACAATATAATAAATTTAAAATTAGGGGAAAAAAATCACGTGGATGACACGTGGCCAATTTGCTATGAAGATGTACAGCTAGATGGTTCACTCCATCACTTCCTTCACTTCCTTTCCCCTTCTTCTCTTCTCAAAATCTCTGCAACAAATCTCTTCCTTTCTCGCTCCTCTTTCTCTTTAAGAACTCTCCATTTTCTCTCTCCTCTTCCAAATCTTCGCGCAGTTTCTCCATACTATGCCGGTGGTTCATCGGACTGATTCACCGAGCAGTGAAGCTAAAAGGGTTGTTCGCTGATTGGTAATTTGCCATGGGGATATGTACTTCCAAGCCGCCTCCGAAGCCGAATCCGTATGCTCCGAGAGACCCAGATGGTCGGAATGATCCGTCTCAGACGCCGAAGTCTGCGCCCACTCCTCACCGGAAGGATGATCTCGTCGCCGGGAAACAGTCGCCGTTCTTCCCTTTCTACAGCCCTAGTCCTGCGCACTACTTTTTGAAGAAGAAGAACAGCCAGAACTCGCCGTTGCCTGGGGGTGGCGGGACTGAGAGTGCTAGCTCCACGCCTGGTAGATTCTTCCGGCGCTCGTTTGCTCCCCCTTCTCCGGCCAAGCATATTCGGGCGGTGCTTGCGCGGCGGCTTGGGAAGAAGGCGGCCTCCACGGCGGCGATTCCGGAGGAGGGCGACGAGGAAGGTGGGATCGAGTTGGATAAGAGATTTGGGTTCTCGAAAGAGCTTACGAGTAGATTGGAAGTTGGGGAGGAGGTGGGTAGAGGGCATTTTGGGTATACTTGTTCTGCTAGGTTCAAGAAGGGCGAGCTTAAGGGTCAACAAGTTGCTGTCAAAGTCATTCCCAAAGCTAAGGTTAGTGTAATTCCAATTTTGAATTTCCCACTCAGTCTTCGAATTCCTGCAAATTTGGGTGTGTACTTTCTGTAAAGAAAGCTAATTCTGGTCAAAATTTGTGGGTACTTCTGATTTGGGAATTCTATCTTGTTTGAATCAGAACCCATTTGCTTTTCTCCTTGGAGAAGATTATTCGGGCCGAGTTCATACTCTTCCCATCCCGAAATCTGCAAATTTAGGCAGAGTTCTCAGTCTTTCTGTTAAAATATAGAGTTTGGGTTTGAATTTTCCACTTCATGGCGAATCATGTAGTTTGCCATTAGAAGATCATGCTCACAGATAAAAGTAATTAACAATTCTGGTCGGTTGACAATTTTTGGGAATTAAATATAATCCTACTTTATCTTGAATACTTCTTCGGCATTTGAGATTTTAAGTGGCAGACGCGTAAAGGGGTCAGCTTGTATGGCTTTTCTTACCTTTGGAGTCAACGATGAGAATTATCTGGACCCACCAGAGGAGGCCATATGTGGTTTTACACTGTGCCAAACACACAATCAAGGAGATATTATTTGTTTCTTTAGACAGACAAACCTGTAATGTTTTACACAAGAAATAATATTAAACTTGCCTCTTGATACCATTTTTCCTCCAGGATTTTCTCAGTGTAGATCTTTCCACTGTTCGATATGTGACATTCTTTAGAAACTGATCGGTAAAATATTTGAAATGGTTCTTGGCCTCCAATGGGTTCTTCTCATACTAGTCTTCTTAAGTGACCTTTTAGTTTGCTCAAACGTACCAAACCTTTTGGCAGGTTTCCCTTTGGCTATTGGAACTAGATGGACGGTAGAGCCGATTTCAGCAATTAGATTTCTATAATATAGTGTAGGTTTTTTGTGTCCTATGAAAATTTAATGAATTGGACTGATGAACAATATTCTGATAAAAATTTCCACAATGTGGTAATGTCTTAAACATAAAGGCACCTTCCATGGGTCACGTAGTAGTCTTCAAGGGTTTCTTTTTCTTAATTCATTACTCATGTTGTGTATGGGATTTATCTTTTTCAGAACATTGGTTCTGTTCAATTGGCAAAGTTTTTTTGAATATTTGGGCTGAAATCGAACTTGTAAACATCATACATGGCAATCTTAAATTGCAGATGTGAAAGAATTATGAATATTTTAATTTTTACGACACTTTCGTGCTCATTCTATATAGTAACTATTATTGTAAGTTTGGCACATTCTGATGTGCTAACGATAGAAAGTTGAATTGGGTGTGCAGTCTTGAATCTTCGGAGTTGTCAAATGTGAAAGAACTATGTATATTTAATGATTGTTTGGTGCTTGGTCCCTATAGTTACTATTATTTTCATTCTGGTATATTTTGACGACCTAATGGTAGAAACTTGAGTTGGGTGTGCAGTCCCGACTCTTAGGAGTCTTCATTTGCAAGTATTTTATTCAGTGTTCAGGTTTCCTTCCTCGTTTTTTGCTTCCTTTGTCGGATAATGGTTAATTAACATTCTTGATAAGGTTATCTTTTTGCTTGTTTGATGCAAGTGGGAAGATCATTTCTAATGATCATATTCGCATGGGAAACCCTAGTGTTTTTTGTAAATATGCCACTGGCTTAGTTTGCCACATGATACCCTAACCTGGGATATACTATGAGTGCATGTCCTATATAGTGTCTCGATTGGTCATCTTGGCCTTGTATTTTTCTTTTTTGATAACCGTGAGTGTTTGGGCCACCATGGTTTGAATCAATTTCCTCTAAATTCTTTACAATTTACCTTGACTCCTTTGGACCAATTGGCCAACTCATGATGGTTATCTTTACCTTTATTATTTCATGATTTATTATCTACCTGAGTAATAAAGTTACACTTGAAGCATATTTGTGGATACACGAGCAATTGGCTGTGCTTCATGCTATATTTTCCTTGTGTTCTTTGGTGCTTATATTTTTATGCTTCGGTGTGATCATGATTGTAATTCTTATTTGTTGAGCAACATTGAAGTGATCTTTTTTTATTGGAGCATTGATGTGTTTATATATATATATATATTTTCCAGGTTGGTGTATTATTCACTTGAGTACTCCAATGTTAGCTTTTATTGCTTCCAATTTTAGATCACTTTTCTATTTCTGTTTTTTTTTTCATTTTCTTTATCCAAGGAATACTGATTTGAAAGCCTGGATTTAACGTCTTCATTCTAGCTCATATATTTCTTGAATAAGTAGAAGGCTGAGTGAATCTACCTTGTTAGAAGGAAATGCAAGGCAAATAGAGGCTTCTTTTACCTATAGGATTATTTCTTTTTATTCTTTTTCTTCTTCTTTTTAATAATGTTCATTTAATACTCTATCTCACTTTCATAACCTGTAAGACTTACCCTATAGCTGTTATCTATGTGTCTCACTCTTTGTAATTGCCAGATGACAACAGCTATTGCTATTGAGGATGTCAGAAGGGAAGTAAAAATATTGCGAGCCTTGACTGGGCGTACAAATCTAGTACAATTTTACGAAGCATTTGAAGACCATGATAATGTCTACATTGTAATGGAGTAAGCTTGGAATACCTACTTATACTTTACTTAGGTCTTTTAATTCGACATGCACATATAATAAATGGACCCAGCAAAAATTCAAATTTGTTATCTTATGGTGTTCTCAATCGGCTCTGCATCCATAGAATCGGGCAAAATGCCCCATGTTGATTAGGTTGCAGATTTTATTTTTTACAAATCTCAGAGTCATTACTTATTTCTAACCTCACAAGCTTATACTGCCGTAATTACTTCTGTGGACATTCAGGTTGTGTGAAGGAGGAGAGCTTCTAGATAGAATACTTGCAAGGTGGTAATTTTGGTAACTATATTAACATTTCTAAAGTAGGCTTTTTAATCTTTTAGACTTGCATTATTTGTCTCTAATATTGATTGTAATTTTGTTCTTTAGAGGTGGAAAGTACTCAGAGGAAGATGCAAAAGCTGTCATGGTTCAGATATTGACCGTCGTTGCATTTTGTCATCTTCAGGGTGTTGTGCATCGGGATCTGAAACCCGAGGTTAGTCATATTCTTGATACTTCTAAAGTAAATTTTTGGAAATGGCTCGGGATGTCTTATGAAACATTACATTTAGCCACAACGGCTAGATCAACCTTGAGAGCATAGTGTGAAAACCAGCCTACTTGGGAAATGTAGGAATTGCATGTGTAGCCGTCTCTTCTGGAACCTGATTATTGATAACATATTTACCTTTTAGTTTAATTCTAGATGTTCATTAGCATCATTCCGTAACAAAAATTATGCCTATATATTTCTTCGTTTGTTGGCAACTGCTGATAGGTTGCAAACCCTTAGTTTAGCTTCACTTTCTTAGCTAGAAGTCAATCTTCATCATATAAAAGTAACTTTCTTCATAATGTAAAAGTAATTTTCTCCCATAAAAAAGTATAGAAGTGTTTTGCTTTTCCCATTCACATCTCTGTCTCTCTAGTGTCATCACTTTTATCAAGGTCTCATCCATCCTGCTGCCATATTTTCTTATATCCAATTGTAGACAGGGGATCTTCATTTTTTTTTATATGAAATCTTCATTTTTTTTATTTAATATCCTAATAGTTTAATTTTTCCAGAACTTCTTGTATACATCTAAAGATGAGAACGCTCAGTTAAAAGCCATAGACTTTGGCTTATCGGATTTCGTCAAACCAGGTTCGTCTTATTTGCCATATTTTTGCCGTTGATTTCTCAAATACTGGATGTGCTATTAATATGATTGTTGTGCTTATAGATGAACGACTTAACGACATAGTTGGAAGTGCATACTATGTGGCCCCCGAAGTACTCCATAGATCTTATGGTACAGAGGCCGATGTGTGGAGTATAGGTGTGATTGCATACATTCTTTTATGCGGTAGCCGCCCATTTTGGGCCCGAACCGAGTCGGGAATTTTTCGAGCAGTCTTGAAAGCTGATCTAAGTTTTGACGAAGGTCCATGGCCTTCATTATCTTCTGAAGCAAAGGACTTTGTCAAGCGCTTGCTAAACAAGGATCCACGTAAACGATTGACCGCTGCTCAAGCATTAAGTAAGCTCCTTTCTTCCCCTCTTATAATGTTGACTTGCTTAATGTCCTAAGTCGTCTGCTACCATCTCTTGCAGGTCATCCTTGGATCCGGAATCATAACAGAGCGAAAGTTCTGATCGACATCCTAATTTTTAAGCTCATGAGAATGTATATGCGGTCATCGTCCTTGCGCAAGGCTGCTTTGCGGGTGTGTACTCACATGTTTATTACAGGAAGAGATTTTTTTTCTTTATTTTCGTTTCTGTTTATTTTTCTTTCATTAACCAATAGGGTGCTAACTAAGTTACAAAAATTTTATCTTATAAGTTATATCAGCTTCATGTTCACAATTTTATCTCATCTGGGCAATGAACTAGTCATAGTTGTTGCCACGAATTTAAAATTAATACCAATACCTACCTAGCTTTTGATTTTTGTAACTTCTGTCTGCAGATAATTCTTTTCCTAGCACAAAAACTTTTATGGTATAGATCATTGCATTAGGCTCTACTCTAGGAATAGAATATTTCTTTCCTGTGTAGCTGAAGGAAAATGCATTATAAAATTGTTTCTTCTGAACCACCCACTTGAAAAACAAGGGAGAGAGGAAAAAGAAGTCGAGAGTGTCGAAGCGGTTGTATTATTTACAAACATAACACCTTCAATTTTAAGTTGGCGATCCCGTGTAATTTTTAATGTGTACTGTTTGTAGGCTGTATCCAAGACATTGACTGTAGATGAACTCTCTTACCTAAAGGAACAGTTTGAACTGTTGGAGCCAAACAAAAATGGCTTTATAACTCTGGAGACAATCAAGATGGTTAGCTCTCTCTCTCACACAAACATGCACGTGCATGCACAAAAACAAAGTTGACAGCAGAAATTTATTATTGCTATCTTATTTTGGACAGGGTCTTATGAAACAGGCAACCGATGCCATGAACGAGTCCCGGACGCTAGATTTTCTTGCAAATGTAACATTTCTGCTGTTTTTCCCGTGTACTAAGCTGTATTTTTCCTACTTTCTACTGAACAGTCACTTTTTTTCCATGACAGCTAAATACACTTCAATACAGAGGAATGGACTTCGAAGAATTCTGTGCATCTGCATTGAGCATCCATCAGCTAGAAGCACTCGACCGATGGGAACAACATGCTCGTTGCGCATACGAAATTTTCGAGAAGAATGGAAATCGGGCAATCGTCATCGAAGAGCTCGCTTCTGTAAGCCAAAACCCGCCTTCACTTTCATAATATTCGCAAAAAATTCATCATTCTTAGTTAGCTCTTTCCTGAAATGCCTTTCTTCCTGGCTGTTATCAGACCTGTATTGTAAATCTTATTATGCCAAATTGTGACAAAAGGGTTTTGTTATATCCTCTCCCAAATGTTGCAGGAACTCGGGCTTGGCCCATCCATCCCGCTCCACGTTGTTCTTCAAGATTGGATCAGACACACTGATGGGAAGCTAAGCTTCCTCGGATTTGTTAAGTTGTTGCACGGCGTGTCGAGCCGAACGCTAGCAAAGGTGTCATGAACCACATCGGTAACCTCGTCTCGGCTGCAATCCGCTCAGTACAGACTAGTTTGTTCTATTACAGCATACATGTGAGATAGTGGTTGGATCTCAAAGGGGCCTTAGAAGAGCAAGAAAAACATGGAAGCTTACCAGCCAAATTGTATTTTTGGAGCATATTTATGAACTTAATTCTCAGCACCAATTCTTTTGGGAGCTGTTTGGACCATTTCAAAAGCTCTATGGGCAACTTCCCCAAAATGTTGACTTGAAGTTCCAATATAAAAGAATATGTAATTTATTGTTTTTTGTTTTCTTTTTACCAGAAAGGGTGATAGCATTGCCACTAATGAAGGACCATTAATACATAACTTCCAATCATCTTGTCATCCATTTTTTCTCTTTTTGCTCAAAATTCATACTTCACAGAATTCTAACCAACAGCCATTAAAGCATGGAAGTTCCAAATAAGGTTATTTTTGTCAATGATACAAATTGAGATGGAAATATTAGTCCAATTGCATTTATCAATTGAAAATTTTGTTGTGGAATCTACTTATGTCTATGTGGGTTTAGGGTTTGTTGCTAAATTTAGGTTGGGCAAACTCAGACTTGTGTAATCCAAGAATCAAACACAACTTACACAAATCTAAATTATGAAAGCTCAGACATTTTTTATTTCAAATTAGGTAAATCTTAACTTTATATTAAAACTATAACTGAATATCTCTTAAAATTTCATAATTTGTGTAACTTAGATTACATATTTGATTTATAAACTTTTGAGTGGTGTGTATTTATATAGTTACTAAATATGAGACAAATTATCACCTGCCACGTGTTAACATCAGAGACTATCTTTATGATGATGAGAAGAGCCAAATGTATCTTTTGATTTGGTTCAAGTCTAGGCATCTTGGCAGTGGAGGCCGAGCTGAACAACATATCACCATCTGGCCGTAGCAGGCCCAAAGGCAATAAGGATGTTCTCGCTTCTCATGCAACGTACGTGAAACTATATTCTTTCTGAGTATAAATCAGACTGTATACTGACTATAGTGTTGGAGTGTTAACTCTGTTTTGCAGGTCCTTTGTACGTCGGTGTGCCAAGTCCGAGCTCGATAATTTTTGTGATCAAACAATTCCAATTATGACTCTGAATTTTTATTTTGTAGGTAGAACATTCATGCGATTGACTTTGTTAGTTTAACACTGAAGCAGTGTGTTGGCTGTATTAATTGGAGATTATGTAGCCCTGCGACATGATAACAATTGACAACTATCTATGGACTAATTTCAGGTGAGTTGTAGCTACCAATTGCTAACATTACCACAATTTTCATCCACGCCACTAAAAATTGGTCCACTTTGTAGATTTGAGTGGCCAATTGTTGTCATGTCATGATCACACTACCTAAAGTAATACTGACAATGTGGTTTTTACCTCCCGACACAATATATCATGTAAGTGTTAAATTGCACTAATTAACAACAGACATATTTTAGATAGCCAATTTAAACATATTTTAACTGATCAAGTTTCTTCGATCAAAAGGTTAGATTTTAGAAGGTCGAATTTCTACTTTCACATGTTATTGAATCGAAAAAAGAGATCTCTTTTCATACAAGTTCGGATGTAATAGAAATTTTTAAGGTTTTTTTTTTTTTTTGGACTAAATAGCGCCACCCCTACAAATTGGGAGTCAAATTTGAATAACCTATCTCACAAAAACGTCGACCAAATGACACTGACCGGGAAACGTGCAACTGCTGATACGCGCCTTCTTCTATTTTGGGTAATTGCCAATTCCAAAAGACAATTTTCAAAAGATTAAAGACTTCTGGGACCTTTTTTTAATTTTTTAGATGTGAAATATCCTTATTGTCCTTTTGTAGAAAAGCCCTAACTTTTAGTTTTGCCGTCCCCTCGTTGAACTCAGCCACCACGTTCCAGTCGTAGCACTCGGCAACGGCGGCGACTAGCGACGTGGCCGCAACCAGAATCGCGGCGGCAGTGCTTGGCGGCCATAACCCAATCGCAGAATCCGGCGAAGGCGACGGTACCTCGGCGGCGACGGCTATAAACCTCAAAAAGTTCCCATTCACAGGATGCTCCTCCATAAACCCTATTGTTACCGCTCATTATCCACTCTATGCTCTCCCGCCGACGCTCTTCTTGCTGACAAAGCCATCGTCTATCTCAGGCGCCACCCCGATCACCTCAACTTTCTTTCTCCCCACTTCACTCCCCAAGCTTCCTCGAATTTACTCCTGAAGTCACAATTCGACCAGAATTTAGTCGTCAAATTCCTTGATTGGGCACGGAGCCAGAGGTTCTTCTCCTTCCAATGCAAATGCCTCGCGCTCCACATCCTCACTCGCTTCAAACTCTACAGAACGGCGCAATCTCTTGCCGAGGAAGTAGCTGTCAATTCGATTGATGAAACTGGCGCCGAGCTCTTTCAATGCCTCAAGGACTCGTATCATCTGTGCAATTCGAGCTCGGCGGTGTTTGATCTGGTAGTTAAGTCTTATTCTCACGTTAACTTGATCAATAAGGCTTTGAACATTGTTAATTTAGCTAAGTCTCATGGCTTTATGCCGGGCGTGCTTTCGTATAATGCTATTTTAGATGCGGTAATTAGGACGAAACAGTCTGTTAAGTTTGCGGAGGAGGTATTTAAGGAGATGATGGGAACTGGGATTTCGCCCAATGTGTTTACATATAACATTTTGATTCGCGGTTTTTGCTCTGCTGGAAATTTGGAGATGGGTTTATCTTTTTTCGGTGAAATGGAGAGAAATGGGTGTTTGCCGAACGTGGTTACCTATAATACAATAATTGATGCTTATTGTAAGTTAAGGAAGATCGACGAGGCATTTGGGTTATTGAGATCGATGGCATTCAAAGGCTTGGAGCCAAATTTGATTTCATACAATGTGGTTATAAATGGGTTATGTCGAGAGGGAAGAATGAAGGATACAAGTGAAATTCTTGAGGAAATGAATAGAAGGAGATATGTTCCTGATGAGGTGACTTTTAATACACTTATAAATGGATACTGTAAGGAAGGTAATTTTCATCAAGCACTTGTGTTGCATGCAGATATGATGAAGAATGGTCTATCCCCGAATGTTGTTACGTATACAACTTTGATTAATAGTATGTGCAAGGCTGGTAATTTGAATAGAGCAATGGAGTTTTTGGATCAGATGCGAGATAGAGGGCTATGTCCTAATGGGAGGACGTATACAACATTGATTGATGGATTTTCTCAGCAGGGATTATTAAACCAAGCTTACCAAGTTATGAAAGAAATGGTTGAGAATGGATTCACCCCTACAATTGTAACTTATAATGCTCTCATCAATGGGCATTGCATATTAGGGGGGATGGAAGAGGCCAATGGGGTCCTTCAAGAAATGGTGGAGAGAGGTTTTATCCCCGACGTTGTAAGCTATAGTACCATAATTTCTGGTTTTTGTCGAAATCAAGAATTGGAAAAAGCTTTTCAACTGAAAGTGGAGATGGTGACGAAGGGCATTTCTCCTGATGCAGTAACTTACTCATCACTAATTCAAGGTCTTTGTCAGCAGAGAAAACTTAGTGAAGCTTGTGATCTCTTTCAAGAAATGCTAAGCGCAGGTTTGTCTCCGGATGAAGTTACTTACACATCCTTGATCAATGCTTACTGCACTGAAGGGGATTTAGATAAGGCTCTTAGGTTGCATGATGAAATGATTCAGAAGGGGTTTTCGCCTGATATTGTCACCTACAATGTGCTTATTAATGGATTAAATAAACAAGCTCGTACGAGGGAAGCAAAGAGGCTTCTGCTGAAGTTATTATATGAAGAGTCTGTGCCAAATGAGGTCACATATAATACTCTGATAGAAAACTGCAACAATTTGGAATTCAAGAGTGCCTTGGCTCTTATGAAGGGATTCTGTATGAAGGGCTTGATGAATGAAGCAGACAGAATTTTTGAGTCAATGCTTCAAAAAGATTACAAAACCAATGGGGCAGTTTACAATGTCATTATACATGGTCACAGTAAAGTTGGAAATATTGAAAAAGCATACAATTTATATAAGAAAATGTTGTGTTTTGGATTTGTTCCCCACTCTGTGACTATTATGGCTCTGGCAAAATCACTATTTGATGAAGGAAAAGATGTAGAGTTGAATCAACTTCTTGAGAGCACACTCAAAAGCTGTAGGATAAATGACGCAGAGCTAGCGAAAGAACTCGTCAAAATCAACCATAAAGAAGGTAACATGGATGCAGTTTTCAATGTGCTTAAAGATATGGCTCACACTGGCTTACTACCATACAGTTAAGTGAAGAACTCTTAGTAATGTCGATAACCGGGAAAATATATGTAACATCTTGAGAGAACAGAATGGAAGAAATCATCACAGGTGTGGACTTAATGTAAATGTTTGACAGCTGCTCAAGCATTAAGTAAGCTCCTTTCTTCTCCTCTGATAATGTTGACTTGCTTAATGCCCTAAATCTTCTGCTACCATCTCTTGCAGGTCATCCCTGGATCCCAAATTGTAACAGAGCAAAGTTCCGATCGATGTACTAATATTTAAGCTCATGAGAATGTATATGCGGTCCTCGTTCTTGCTTAAGGCTGCTTTACGGGTGTGTACTCACATGTTTATCCTAGGAAGGGATTTTTTTTTCTTAGTTTAGAATAACAGTATTTCTTGTTCTTTTCTGTTTCTTTTTCTTTGTTGACCAATTTAGTGCTAGTTAAGTTATGAAAACTTTAGATTATATTGGCTTCGTGTTCTCAATTAACTAGTCATAGTTGTTGCCACGAATTCAAAATTAATACCAATACCTAGCTTCTGATTTTTGTAACTTCTGTCTTCACGTAGTTTATGATATAGATCGTTGTCTTAGTTAGCTCTTTCCCGAAATGTCTTTCTTCCTGGATGTTATCAGAACTGTATTATAAACCTTATGATGCCAAATTGTGACATTTGTTATATCCTCTCTCAAATGTTACAGGAACTTAGGCTTGGCCCCGATCCATCCCGCTCAACATTTGTTCTTGATTTGTTCCCCACTTCGTGACTACATGGCTCCAGTCAAATCACTATTTGCTGAAGGAAAAGATGTAGAATTGAATCAACTTCTTGAGAGCACACTGAAGCTATAGGATAAGCAACGCAGAACTAGCGAAGGTACTCGTCGAAATCAAGCATAAAGAAGGTAACTTGGATGCAGTTTTCAATGTGCTTAAAGAGATGGCTTACAGTGGCTTACTATCATACAGTTCTGGTTACATGGGCGTGTGAAGAAATAAGTGAAGAGCTCTTAGTAATGTCGATAATCGAGGAAATCTGTTAAACATCTTGAGAGAGCAGATTGGATAAAATCATCACAGGTGCGGACTTCCCTTTGTTTCCCATTGATTTCAGTTGGTTTTAGTTACACTAGCCATGTATGTGATACTATATGTATATCCCTGAATTCTAGGGAATAAATGAAGATGAAGATTTTACCTTCCTTCGATATTTTGTTTATAGTTTTCCTTTGTTATTTTGTTTATGGTTTTTCCTTATTTGGTTTAGGCACAGTTTCTGTATATATGTATCAATTGAATCAAGGAGAAAACTAAGGAAACTCTCCAATTTATCATGGTATCAAAAGTTTAAAAGTTCAAACGAGTACCCAATCAAAAAATAAAATGAGATTCAACCAAGAGAGGTACCATTTTGAAGGGATGCATCAAGGATTCCATGTTAAAAAGATAGGAAATTTAACAAGGATTTATAATATAAATGAGCTATTTTTTTCATTACTGATTCATTTTGAGGTGTAACAATTTTGAATGGATCAAAACAATTGTATGAAACAAATTCATCTTTTCTCTGTTTTGTATTTGTATTGAAGAGAGATGACTTGGTGTTTACCTAGAACAATTTTGTGTACAAATTTGAGTGGGCTTTGAGATTTTGTTTGCTATACATTTTCAAACAAAATATTAAAATTTATAATTTAATTTTTCAATTTCACTTTATCAAAGTGAATATAACTCAATGGCAGTAGATATACTTTGAATTACTTTATTTTATTTGTTGTACTTTTAAATTTTGTTCATTTTAATCTCTATACTTTTAAAATATTTATTTTTGTCTCTATATTTTTAGAAGACGATCATTTTGGTCATTTCATTTTCAATTTTTTCTTATTTATAATTTTAGCATGATGCTTCCTCACTGAATTTCTTTAAATGTAGATATAAATTTGTATTAAAAGATTTTCATTTGTATAAAATTTATGTTGAAATTTTATAAATATAACATTAAAATGAAAAAGAATTTAAAAGTGTAGAACTAAAATAAACATTATAAAAATATAGCAACAAAACGAATCAAAATCTAAAAGTAGAAGATCAAAATAATATTTAAATAAAAATTTTAAGCAAGCATCCCCACTGAAAAAAATGAAAAAGACTAAAATGAATATTTTAATTTTTAAGATAGGGAACTAAAATAAAATATTTTAAAAATAATAAATATAATAATTCACACACAAACCCGCGACCCGCCCCGTTGGATGCTGTTATAAACTTGATCGGTTGATCCACGACCCGCTTTCTTTCTGAACCCGAATGTTATTTGCCCCCAAAATCAAACGGATCTGCTCACCGAGCGGGAGATTTAGGGTTTAAGATTTCTCTCTTACAATCTTTTTGCATCAATTTTCCCCAATTTGTTCCATATTAGCGCTACACGCTTGAAAATCGGCCCAATAATTTGCATTCAATTCAAGTTCTAGTGTCCACTGACGAATCGACGACAGATTTCGACATTCTATCCTTGCTACGTATTCTGCAAGACACCAAAACATGACTGAGGTAACCGTTTCTCAAAATTCTCTTTTCGACAATCCTTGTGGGGAAATTTCTTACGTTTATTTACTTGTTGATGAACTTGAAAGGATTTGGAGCAGCTAAAATACTCGATTTCTTTCCATGTATGAAATTCACATGCCCTTGCTGATGTAAACGTAGTTGTGGAAATGTAATTCGGATTCAAATTCAGGCAGTTTCTGTTTCTGCCAGCCTCGGTTATTGCTAATTTATTGTTTAGTTTTATCGAGAAATATGTGACTATCTTTATTGCTTATTAAGCAAACTTTGCTCGTTAGTTGATCATTTGTTTTGATGGGACAGAGAGAGAGATGCAAATCATTTTCATATCTTATGTTCTTTACATTTTCGCTTCTTTGGTAATTTTATAAAGTATATATAATGTGTAACTTGGGAAAGCTTTTGCATTTGAAAATTGTAAAATTGCTTCACTTTTCTGTTGGTTGTGATGCTAGTTCTCTATTCAATATTTTTTGCAAGTTGTAGTTTGGTTTCATGCATACGTACATATATGTGTATATATGTTCACTTTTCATCATGATCTTGATTTTGAATTCTTACTTTGCTTTTAATTAACATTTTGGTAATGATATCCATGATCTTATGTTTATTTTCAGTGTTTGAGAGTTCAATGGTTCCTTACCATTTCCTCTGATGTTTTCACTTAAATTCACTGTTTCTTATACGAAGAATATGGCTTCATTCATGCATCCTTTTGTGTGGATAGATATCATATGCTTTTTAGTTCTCATTATGATCCATGACAGCAAGACTAATAAACAGTTTTTTCTTTGGTCCCTCTTCTCCCCAGTATTGGGTTAGTCAAGGTAACAAATGGTGCGACTTCTGCAAAATATTTATTTCAAATAATCCTTCCACAATCCGAAATCATGAGCTTGGTCAACGTCATAAAGACAATGTAGCCAAAAGGCTTGCAAACATGAGAAAAGAGAATGCTGCCAAGGAAAAAGAACAAAAGGAAGCAGTACGGGCCATTGAACAAATTGAGGCAGTAAGTGAAATAACTTTCTATTTGTCCCACCTTTGTCGATGACTAAGCACAGTAGTGTATGTAAGCAAATGTTTTAAATTTCAAATGTCTGTGGTTTGGTTCAATTCAGAAGTTCTAAAGTAAGCCTTGATGTAACTCTAAGCTATCTTATAAATGCTCATGTCAACCTTATTGTAGATAGGGATTGGGTTAAAGACTTAAAGTTAAACTATCTGCCTGCTTCGCATCAGTGCTGCAAAGGAATCAAGCTATTTGCATGCTTCCTTAATCTTAGGTCAACGAAGGTTAGCTTGTGGTTGTTAAATTAGTGAAGTGTGAAAGATGAATCTAGTTTGTGCTTTGGTCTGGTCATAACTCAGTCTCGGACAAGCTTTTACGATGTGAACTTGACTTGTTGATTTCATGTAGTTTTCCTAATGGGGTTCTTAAAAACCAATAGTTGTACATAAGATTCTATTTTCAAGTATGTAATATGAGCATCTGTGCTGATGTAAACACCTAGTAAGAATAGATAGCAATCTGCTATTCTAAGTAATTTAGCACGATTGATTGTTCTTACTGGAGTGTAGATCCTTTCTGAGTATGGTCGTCCACTTACAGAGCTAGTCTTCCATTCTCTGGTGTCTTTCTTATAAATGAGTTCGTTTTTAATGGGTTTGTGATGTGGACACTTTTGACAATGATAAAGAAGAGACATGAAGTTGCTGAAACTTTAAATAACAGGGTTAAGTGCCAAATTCATGAAGTTTACTTAGCAGGATACAAAATTCTCCTGGTGTATGGTATGGCCTTAGTATATTCATTATGTATTAACAAGACGAATAGTTTGAGCTTGATCCATGAACCCTTATATTTTTACATTGTGTCCTTTTTTTCCCCTCAATTTTGCAGAAAGCTAAGCGTAGTTACCAGAAGGACATAGCCAATTTCCGGGATGCTAGAGATTCCCATGCACTTCCAGTTGATGTTCAAGAAAATGGTGAAGAGAGTAAGTAATGCAGAGTTGCAATTTTAACGGTTTTCAGAAATTAGTCTCTATATCTCTCCAAAACTTTCAGAAGATAAATGGCTTATCTGATGCGCATATAAACTTCTATTGATGTTTGTAACTAACAACCTGATCTACTTAAATGGAAGGTTTACGTAATTGGTCATAATATTATGTGCACCTTAATTATGCATGGGTGTTCGTATAGATAGTCAATAAATTGGGCCTTCAAGGCACTACTATATCTTTTTTTTTTGGATAAGAGGGCACTACTATATCAGTGTAAGGGTTTATATCAATTTATGGGTTAGGGAACATGCGATGCATTGTTCTAACCACTAACAATTTTAATTTGAGACCAGAAGGTATGCTTAATTATTTTCCATTCAGTTTTGTACCTATTTGCTCGTCATTTCCAAGTGGGAGAGCAAAACCTCTTTTCTCTTGTAAGAAACAAGAGATTCTGTTGATAATAAACAAAGAACGGAGGGGATAGGAATAACTTTTGATGTCTCTTTGATCCATCAACCTATCCATTTGGATAATGCTTTTTACCCTTTGTGAGCCTGGTTCTGATCATTATCATTTATCATCATCTTGATATTTGGTACTGTTCAAACTGATACAGCTCTCAATGATGACAGAATGGGAGTTTGACAGCACTTCAGGCTATTATTACAATGAAAGCAATGGTTTCTATTATGACTCAAATTCAGGCTTCTACTACTGTGATGCCCTTGGTACTGAAATTGATTTTGCGATGATGAACTTTGAGCTTCTATCTTTCTTTTATTTATAGAATACGTGTTGCTTACCTACTTAAATGTTTGAAACAGGCAAGTGGGTAACACAGGAAGAGGCACATGCTTCGCCTCAGTTCTTTTCAAACTTCAAACATAAGAAACCAATTTTAGAGAAGCCATCATCGGCCTCTGCAAGTGCAGCTATGAAAGACAAGAATGTCGATAAAGGGGAAAGTGGGCCTCCACCTGGGCTGGTTGTTTCAGCTTCTTTAAACCCCACGCGATCCGTTAAAGGTGCTCCTTCATCAGTTGCTGTTGGTAAGAGGAAGAGGCCAGATGCGAAGCAAAAGGTTATCTCTGACGAAGAAAAAGCCGCCCTTAAAGCAAGGGAGGCTGCAAAGAAGAGGGTCGAACAGAGGGAGAAGCCACTTCTTGGTCTTTATAAGTTGCCATGAAATAGGCTGTTGCTCTCAAGTAAATTTCTCTACCATCTAAAGTTCGCCACATCAGCTCTCTTCCACCTGTAAACTGATTTTTCTCATAATTATATAGATTGCTTAACATGAGCTAAAAGATTACTACTGTATGGAACTTCCCAAAGCTTTACCAGTTTCTTCTATCACCCTGTTATTATTGTTTTCTTATCTGGCTGCTTTATTGTGAGGTTTACATGAATTGCATCACCAGGAATGTGTGGGGCTGATATAGTCTAACATTTACTTCATCCATGTGTACTTGGTTATTGTAAAGATAAGAATCCATTGAGGGAAGAAAATCCGTAGGCAAATCAACTTGCAGGCATGAACCGATCTCGCCTTTTTCCATGGATCTGTTTGGTTACGGTTATGACCCAGCAGAATTGTGTACCGTCGAAGGCATGGATGTGAAGGACTCTTCCAAGTATCAGATTTGACATGATCTCCCGAACCTTATACAAGGTGAGCAGTAACATTTGTCATCTCTCATCAATAATTATTCAGCCCTTGCCTGGTTTTTCTTTACATTCACAGGAAAATTGGGAGCTTGAATCCTAGATGAATTCTTCACATCTAATTTTTTGTCAGCTCAACCATCACAAAAGGACTTCGAGTGGGTTTATGCTGATTTGTTGTATAGAATAATGTTAATTATCAACTACTTTATTTATTTCTGCATTTTCATTTTTTTTATACTCAAACTCCCTGCCTTGAATTTCAAAGCTTTACATTTGTGTTGTAACTTGTAAGTGATTCTCTCATGCTTTTATCTCCGATTCAGGTAGTAGCTAAGTAAAGCACCATGACTTGACCTACTAAACTAATTGAGGAGATCAAGTTGTAAATTCATATAGTTCTAAGATCAAGAAGTTGTATGTTGTAAATTGAGAGGGAATTGGTTCAAATTCCATGATGGTCATTTACCTTAGGAATTAATTCCTATGGATTTTTTGGCACCAAATGTTGTAGGGTCATGCGATTGTCTTGTGACCATGAACTCTTGATATGAATCTCCACAATTTTATTTTATTCTATGTTATGATTGATAAGTGACAACGAGATTTTTCTAAAACTATAAAGAGTAGATTGGGAGAATTCAAACTATAGAGGGGTATCTTAAATTGATATAATCTTATCAGTTGTGTATGGTTAGTAAGACAATGGTTGTGATTTCAATAAATTAATTTATTATTTTTTTTTTGAAGATTTTGTCTTGTTATGTCTCTCATTTGTATAAAATAAGGGAGGTATGTTTTTTAACCTAAATTATACCTCTATTATTGAACTAGTGAACTTTATTATTATTAATTTTATTTATTTTAGATTTGATTGCTTTGATATTAGTTCTAGTTTTTCCAACCACTTAATGTGCATTTGCTAGTAATATAAATCATTAAACTAGGCATTCATGGTGCTTATACTTCCACTTTCAAAAGTTCTCACAACGAGTTTAATGGTGAAGTAACATCCCCCATTTTCTCAAAATAGTGAGAAACTATGTGGCTACAACTATGATAAAAAAAGTTATAAAATAATATATTCTAAATTCTTTTTTATAAGAAATAATATAAATGTTTTGAGATGCAATCCTTGTTGTTTGGACCTAATATTTCAAAAAAAAAAAAATCAAGTGTTTTTTCAGTGATTAATACTTAACAAATATTTTAAAAATTGGCAAATAATTAAATTAAAATTATAAAAGTTGTAAAAAAAATGACTTGAATAAAAAACAATTAAAATAAAAAAAATTGAAATTAGTGAGAGAATGTGTAAAGCAAGATTAGTGAGAGAAAATATATAAGGGAGAGAATGTATGTCTATTTAGGAGTTAATTTAAAAAACTATATGTTTTTAAAATTTAAACTTTAAAGTACAAAAGATAAATGTAGAAAAAGAGAGTTTTTTTTGTTTTTTATTTCTAATTATCATAAAACTAAAAAACTATCAAATTTTTATTGGTAGTTAGCTCGAGTATGCTGATTGATAAACACACAAGTATTGATTTACTCTTAATTAAATCTTTTTATGTCAACTTGAGCATAGATTAGCAGTAAATAACATCTATTATTTTTTTTAAATTAAAAGTTCAAATCTTTATACCACGTTTGATGTACTAATTTATTATTATTTGTTAATATCATCTCATTTTTTTTTCTCTTATCTCTTCCTCTCTCTCATCTTTTATGAGTACTCAATACATACAAACAATATATATATATATATATATATATAAAAAAGAAGATATAATGTTTTTGGGAGTATTTTTTTAGAATAATAAGTCTTGGGAATAAATTAGTGGAAGGACCAAACATTTTGTGCATAGGCAGGTGGGATTGTTTGGCATGCTTGTGTGTCTTACTTTGCTATATTAATTAAATTTAATGTATTATGTAATCACATAAAGTTGGCCCCACTTTTAATAATTAATTAGAGGCTTTCANTCCATTTTCATCACATTCAAATTGTGTTTTATTTTCTTGTTCTTTTTAAATAGGATCATCAAATATATATATATATATATATATATATTGGTTGAGGAAAAATAAATAGGATTGTTTTTATTTGAATTCTTGCTCCAAATTGAGTTAAAAAAATTTTTTTGTCAATATATATTTGCTATTTACCTTATACATATGTAATCAGATATTAAATTTTTATTGACATATCGATATAGGTTTATGACTTCGACATCGACATAAATGATGAATCAAAATTTATATCGACATCGACATAAATGATGAATCAAAATTTCCATAGTACCGCAAGAAAAAAAATGACAAAATATAAAAACATCACTAATATGTATATAATATCAATATTACTAAATTTTAGCTCTGTTTATTTGTTAAAATTAATTTTTATAACAATTTATTTTATAATTTTTTAGAAATATCTATCGATATCAATATTTTATTGATATTTTTATCGATATTTCCATAAAATTGATACATCTACCATTTTTAGATATCGACATTTAAAATCTTGATAATAATTATATTGTTTAAATCGATTTATATCATTGAATGTGGTTTAGGCGGCCAATCAACCTGATAAACCATCTTTTTTTTTTTGAGATAAAAGATTTTCATTAAAAATTAATTGGCGACTTGAATTCGATGGAGTGAAATTGTATAAAATTTATAAATTAGAAGAGTGCAATTTTCAAACGTCAGTGTATAACCAATTAATTACTTTTTGAATTATTTTAAAGTTAATATATAATTTGTAAGTAAATAAGTTTTGATACACTTTTCTGAAGTGAAAAAAAAGGGTTTGATACACAATTATTTTTTTGAAAAAAAAAACATTTAAATATTCACATAATTAATTCAACTTAAACTATATATCTAAACTTGAATAAATGATTAAAATTAGGGGGAAATCAAAATTTACCTCCAACATTTTGAAGAGTGTAACAATTTTTATTTAAAATTTTTAATTTCATCAAATTGGACTTTAGAATGGGACATTTATTCTCTCCTATGCACCAATTTATTTGAACCAGTGTTGTAATATTTATTTGATAAACTTTCGTTTAAAGAATTGTTAAACAATATTATATATATTTTCGTGTGCATTCAATATAATTAAAAATGTAAGTCTAATATAAAATTGCAACACTTATTTAAGCTTAGGATTTGATACGATGAAATTGAAAGTTTAGGATGAAAATTTATATACTTTATAAAGTTTGGAGGTAAAAATTGGAGGTAGGAAGTGATATAATAAGATATGACAGTGTCTTGATCAGGTAATGTGCTAATTTTTTAATTAGAATTGAGGAGAACTAAAATATAACCAACTAGCCAATAAAATCAACTAATAGCAAGGCATTAATTTCAACTATTGCAGCAATTTAATTCCAGTCTCCAGCGTAGAATAACTACACACAAAAATATGTATCGGGGTGGTAATAAGTCCAACACACTCTAATGTGTAAGTTAGCAAAGGGCTTCGTTGAGAGTAATGGAAAGTAGAGTCGAGAGAGCGTACCTCGCATCCTAGGTCTCTCGCCTATTTATAGAGAGAGTCTCCTTAGATTAGTGTGAACTGGTTCGACCAGATTTAGGTTGGCTCGAATCTAGTTTAGTTGGGTGGTCCAACCTAGATAGTTTGACCTGGCTGGACCCATGTCACTTTCCTAACTTCAATTCATGGAAATTTGATGGGATAATTTCTCTCGTAAAACACCCATTATCCAAATGTAAAATTTACTTTAATTCTCATTTTAATGCCTAAACTTTTATGTTTATTCTATTTAGTCCTTGAATTTTGAAAACGGAAAAAAAACATTTTGGTTATAATTATTAATTTTTCTCGTCAATATCTTCTTATTTAATATTCACCTCAATTAGTCCATACATGTCTTCCTTAACATGTTAATACATACACATATTTAAAATCACGTCATCCATTTAATAAACAATGAATAAAAAATAGATACTTTTAATTTTAATGACTAAAACGTAGTAAAGTAAGAAATTTGGGGACAAAATAAACTTTAAAACTTTAATATTAAATTTCGCTCAATAGAAAAAGTAAAAGATTTGACAAAAATTACGAAGGACAAGATCCAACCATCAACTTTTTAGTTGAAGATAAGTATTTTATCCAGTTAAGATATACGAAAATTGCAGTGGGTAGCAAAAATCTTTTATGTATTTCAAAATATGTTACTTGTTTTTTAAATTTTCAAATATAGCAAAAAATTATATCACACAATAGTATATTAGATGTATATATATAGCATAAACATTCATATCAGTAGTATATCAAATGTATATCACATACATCATATAAATAGTATATCAGATGTAGGTCACATACATATATCACTAGTAAGATATATTATAGATACATTACAAATATATTAGAGATCTATATCATTTAGATAAAATTGTCATTTTAAAATTGGACATCCGTTCTTTTTTTTATTTAAAAAAACTAAATGTGACGGTTATTTAACTAATTTTACCATATGATTTTGTCATATTTGTGATTACCGAGAGATATAGTCAAATTGACAAAGGTAAGAAATTTATTATTATAAAGTGTTAGAATAAATAATTTTGAAAGAGAATTCCGAGGTTCGTAAATAGTAAATAAAATTAAAATTAAAAAATCATAATTGAAATTAGTTTAATAATTAATAAAATAAAATAAGGACATCGATTTGGCGTGATTAAATGCTACACGTTAATGATTTGGGTTTGGCGTGCTCAAAAAAAGACCGCCCCTTAATCCCACCATTTTACTATTTTAACCCTTCTTTTTTTAATTAATTAATTATTTTCCCCTCCTACTTTCGACATGTCGTCATATCACGCTTCGGCGTCTTCGCCAAACTACCTTCTGGCTCATTCGACTGCCAATGTCGTATTCAAGCCGTCTTGTCGTATTCCATTAATTCGTTCTTTTAATTAATCATATATCAATTCTTTTTTATTCATGAATGAAACTGAAAGGATACACACATATATATAGACATTGGGTAAATTTCTGATAGGAAGACTTTAATATATAACACATGATAATTTTTTCTTTTTCATTTTCAACCGCGTCATTGTCTACTATTTGTATTTCATCTTTTAATTTGTCTATCTCTATCATTTTTTTTATTATTCCATCTTTTTTATTCTTTTTACTTTCAATAAAAAAATTTAGGTTAAAATACTAGTTTGGTCCATGTACTTTCAGCCTTGGTTCATTTTGGTCCCCGTACTTTGAAAATGTTCGTTTTTTGTCCCTATACTTTAAACTTTGGTTCATTTTGGTCCCCGAGCTTTCAAAATGTACCTTTTGGCTCCTCTTCTTTTAAAAAGTGACCATTTTAGTCCTTTAATTTTATTCTTAATCTCATTTTTTATATCACAATTTAAACACGACACTAAAATCAATATATTTCTTCAAATGTAAACATTACTTTATATTAAAAGTTGTCGTTATGTGTAAAATATATGTTAAAATTTTATAAAGAGGGACTAAAATGATCTATTTTTAAAAATATAGGGACTAAAATGAACATTTTCAAATTACAAAGACTAAATTGAATCAAAGTTTAAAGTACAGAGACAAAAATAAACAAAGTATGGGGACAAAAATGAACCAAAGTTGAAACTACATAGATCAAACTAGTATTTTAAACAAAAATTTATCAATAGCACATTTTTTTTAGATTCAATCAAGTTGTCTATTATTCTTTTCTTTTTAAACTATCGTGATCCATTTTTTCTTTATAGACATATTAATATATTTTGCTTATATCGATAAAATGTTGATATCGATGCATATTTCTGTAGAAGTTAGAAATATTAAAAAATTGTAAAAAATATTAAAATTGACAAATAAACATTTTGCTTTGCTAAATTAGTTAAAAATAATTAATATTGATATTATATATATATATATTAGTGACATTTTGTTGATATTTTTCACATTTAATCGATTTTCTTGTACTATGATGAAAATGTTGATTCACCCATCATCATGTCGATGTCGAACCTATGGAAATATGGATATATCAATGGACATGTCAACGTGTCGACGGATATTTAGAAGCATGGGAAGGACACAAAAAATATAAAAAGTTGAGAGAGAGAATTAAGTTAAAATTAATATAACATATACAATATATTTACGGTAGAGTTTGTAAAATCTTAAAAATTTTAATCGTTAAAAAAAATAGTATGGTACGCGGTACAAAAACTTGAAAATTTTTGTTTGCAAATGAAAAAATAAAAGTAAAAAGAAATTTAAAATAGCCAATTAAAAAACGAGGAATTTTTATTAATTGTGACTTTTTTTTGAGAATTATATATATTATTAATTTTTGTTTCAAAATAAGAAAAARATTTATAGAAAATATTGTTTTATATTCCTACCTTCGTAATTAAAAATAAAAATAAATASATAATAATATATTGTAGTATATATTATATGAAGAATATGGGGCCTTCTAGAATTAGRGACCTTAGACAATTACTTCACTTTCTATACCTTAAATCGGCCTTATTTCTATAAATTTGAGTTTTTTTTTAAATGAGAAGATAGAGATGTAGGACGTCGACCTGAATAAAAATATGGGGTCAATTACTTTGGACTTCATCACTACATCGGTAACTATAGAGGTTTGCTAAGAAATGATGAGATGAGGATCTCTACCGACCGTCATCCTATGATGACAGAAAATTTAATACATTCGATGATGTAGAGAATAACCTCCGAGTGGGTTCAAACTACTGCATAAATATCTTTAAAATGGTATTGATTTTTCTTTTGCTCATTGGGGAAGTAAATTATAGAATAAGTATACAAAATAATTATTCAAATTGCATTACAATACTACTCTTAATTTTATTCAACCATTATTAATATCAAACATCAAAATCACTGATACCGTACGTGAATAACTTCCTCAAGCAAGCCCTTTTTTATTTTTAAATCCAAACAAAATGTGTTTAGTATTAAAAAAATATCAAAGATAAGATTTATTGATTTACAATATTTTTTATGCTATTGTGAGAAGGTTCTAATAATATTATACTCAAATGTAGGTTATTTAAAACTTAAATTAAATTGAATTTATTTCGATTAAATTATTGATTTAGTCCTTATACTTTAAACATTGGGTGTATTTAGTCTCTAAACTTTAAAGAGTTTCAATTATGTTCCTCAAATTTTAAATCATGTTTCTATTTAGTCTATGTCGTTAACACCAATGCTTTAAATGTCGATGTATCCATTTTATGGAAATATTGATAAAATGTTAATACGTTGTTAACACCAATATTTTAAATGGTTATGTCGACGAAGATGTCAATGTATCAATTTTATAAAAATATTGATAAAATGTTGAGGTCGATAAATATTTATAAAAATAAAAAGTTAATAACAAATATTTAGTATTTCAGTCACTGTAAATAAGTTAAAAATTATTAATATTAATATTATGTCTATATCAGTGATATTTTATTAATATTTTTTATATTTTATTAATTTTTATGCAATATTATGGAATGTCTGATCATTCACCCTCCCTGTGCTTGTCGAATTCATAAACATATGAAAATATCAATGGAAATGTCGAAATGTGGACAAATTTAATGTATCACACACAAGAACGAAATGTTGACATGATATAGATGAAAAAAGTTATTATTATCATTATAATTTTTGGTTCATGTATTAATTTTAGAAAAAAAATTTGAGAAAATTGGAATATAATATTTGATTAAGTATCAAATCAATGACAACTCCAAACAATGATGTGTGGCCAATAAGAAGCTAAAAAAGATAAATATGGAACCATCATTTATCATTATGGTATTTATACACATCAATGAGACAATTTTTCCACTAACATTATTTTGAATGTGGTTCATGAGGCATCATGCCCATTGCTTTCCCAATTAAATTTAATTTTTTTTAAATTTCCACCTTTATTTTTATTTTATTTTTTATTATGGGATGATTTTTAGCATTTTTACTTCTCTCTTGCATTGACAAATAAATAAAAACAACCAAATAGGGAATTGTATGAAGTGAAATTTCCTTTTAACAAATATTAAGGTCAAAAGGTTGAATATTTGGACAATTGTTAAATAAATTATTAGGAAAAAAAATCATTTTTTACCCGATATCAAAGCCTTATTTCATAAAATTGAACTAATGAATCTAGATAAGTGGTGAAAACCATGACAAATTGCCAAAAAAAAAAAAAAGTTAAGATATAATTTGAAATCGCTCCAACCTTGTGATGTCAAAGTTGAGAAGAAGGGTACATGGATGAATCGATACCACATCCAAATGAAAGAGATCTTGAGATCATGGAAGCATAATTAAGAAAGTGTACATTTTTTTTCGGTAACTCAAACATAAAAACTTCAAAGTTAAGCGTGTTTGACTTAGAATAATAAAGACGGTGGCACAACTATGTCAACCAGACGTGGGTAAAAAAAATTCAAATGTCAAACCACCTAAATTCATCGAGAGAATTAAAATTCTACTGTTCAGCTATGGCTAGTGGGCTCTATGGTCTTTGAAATTGGTCATCTTCATTTATTTTCTCAATAATAAACTTTCTTGATAGGGGGAGAGAATGATGAGGTGGGTAAATAAATACAAATGATGGAAMAAGGTTTGTAAATGCAAAATAAATAAATAAATAAAAGGGTCTAAAGTTTCCCATTTTGTTGGGCCATAGATTATTAATTAAGATCACTTGTGGGATGTAATTAATACCAATTTCCCCACATTAATTACAATATCTAAGCCATTGGGATTATTTGTACCTACTTTGTAGAATTTTAAYGTTTTTGAATTTTTGGGTGCTATTTTTTCTTCCCTATATGGTCCCTACAGACTTGTGGCTTCAATGCCCTATGTCCCATTTCCTATACATTGTAACAAATTAAAATCCCTAACCCTAACCCTAATAATGGAAATTTTTTAAAAAGAAACCTAACCCTACCAAATATTTTTAATTTCTTTCTTCTTAAATTTCTAATTTTTTAAAATTAAACTTGTTTGTCAATAATTYCTTTGTTTAGTTTTTCGCCATTTGAAAAATGATTTTAAATTTTAGTCAAATTTTATAACGAGTTTAGATTGAAAAATACTAATTTTTTGGATAGGGATAATTTCCCTTTTTTTTTAAATGAAAATTGAGGTTATGTAAAGCCTTGGTAATTTCACTTTCAACAGCGATCAGTTGCCAACTACTGGCGCCCTCCCTAATTTCATCATCAATAATCGTGGATCAATAAATTTATTTATTTCTTAAAAATCAACCCTTTTAATATTTTATACTAATAAGTGGGCATCCAAGGTCGGTCCAATCTCTATTTTTGATGTCGAAATCTCCATGCATCGCATAGCAACGTGTTCGGAGTCCTAGCGAGTTGTGGGAGGATGAGCTTGAAAACTTGCAAAAATAGGTAAAACACTCCAACATTCAAGTTAGTTTTGAATAAGAACGGGACAGATCAACAGATTTTCATACCTGATTGAGTAAAGTAAAAGTGTATTTATAGAAGTTGGATGGATAATTGTCCATCGAATCAAATTATTCAACTGTTCTTGGGGTCGGTGACCTACTTTTCACTGATGGTCGTACTCTTCGACGTTAGAATTTGTTCCTAATGAGTTTGGGGTAAACCATCGGCCTAAATGGGCATACCGACCTAGGAGCTGCATACCTCGTGAACCATATATCTCAGCCCATGTGGATCATGCTTTAACTCCCAACATCTATTATGATACATCCTAATTAACCAACTTATGATCATCCAAAATGATAAATTTCGGTAGATTTAAATATTATTTTTGTCCTACTTTCGATTTTGGTYGATTGGTCTCTATACTTTTATTTTAGTTTCTATATTTTTAAGTTTGATTCATTTTAATTCCTATATCTTCAAAAACTATGACACTTCATTTATTAAATTTCTTGAAATGTAGACATAAATTTGTATATAAAGAATTTTCATTGTGTATAAAATTTGTGTGAAAACTTCTCCAACATAGACCAAAATATTCATTTTTAATTTTGTGTCCAAAATTAAATAATTTCTTAAATAAATTTAGATAATTAATTTGATGCTAATGTCTTAACGATTTAGAAGTAAAGATTCAAACTCAGTATATATTTTATTCGAAGTGAATTATAGTGCTAATATCTTTTAACATCATAGACAATTGAGTTTATGCTCGAAAACAGATATACAAATTAGATTCTAATCTTATATATTTTTCAAAGAAAACATTGAATCAAATAAATTATCTAAAATTGAAAAAAGAAAAAAAAATTCATGCTCGTGTGAGAGAGCCAAGGCCTCTTGAGAAAGTGTGATGAACAGTGGAGTTGAATCCGAGGCAGCCCAAGAGGCCATGCTTGTAGGGCAAGCTCGTCTTCTTCCTCAGCTCCTCTGAAACTGCTCTGTTCGTTTTGTAGTGCAATTCGTGAGCCGAAATCGCCCCTCTCCTCCTCGAACTCGATACCGACTCAATCGACCGGAAGCTCGAATTCTTCATCTCCTCCACCGCCGCCTTCTTCTCCGTCGCCCGCCCTTCCGATGCGCTCCGGAACAGCAGCATGTCTCTGATTTTCCATCTCCTCTGCCCTTTCGAGAACGAAAATGCAGACAGGAATGAGGCCGATGATGACGATGATGATGAGATTGAGTCTTTCTGGTTGCTTATGGCCGAAGAAACCGCCGATTTTTGAGCAATTTCTTGACCGGAATCGAGGATGATGTCCGACACTCGGAGAGGAGATAGCGATCGGCTTCCGGTTCGTCTTATGGAGGAAGACGACCGCGACGAGGCGGTGCTCGTCGTTCTTTCTCTGCCTCGATTTCGATTGGCGTCGGCGTCGGCGTCGGCGTCGGTGTCGGCGCGGTTTATTCCGCCGGCTTTCCGTGTCGATGCCTTGAAAGCTTCTTCGAATGGATCGGTATCTCTCCGTCGGTGATGGCGTGGAGAGAGAGCTTCTTGGACCATTCTCTTTCCCTGTCGAAATTTAGGCGTTCAGTAAAATCGAAAAACTACGAGATTAGAAGCAGAGTTTTCTTTTTGATTCAGCGATGAATTTCTGTTTACCTGCGAAATCTTTGACGATCTCGGAGACGACGCATTGGAGGAGACCGAATCGGTGACTCGATGGCACGGCGGTGGCTTCAGAGCCCTAATTTTGCCGCAATCGAAGAGCTCCTCCGCCGACAACGAATTCCTCTCCAACTGTCCACTGAAATCAAATTCGAAATCCTCATCGGCAACACTGCTTTCACCATCATCACCGCCGCCGACTCTCGATTTCGCAAACCCTGGCTTCTCCTCCCACAGAAAGGGGATTTCCGACGCCGAAGAACTCCTCCCCACATCATCCTCGCCGTAGCCGTTGAACTCGTAGTAGAATGCAGCGGCGCGTGTGGGAGAGGTCGGGGCGCTGCTGAAGAAGAAGTTGCCGAACCGCCGAGGGCTGGACGGAGCGGTCATGTAAGGGGAAGAGCAGGCGCTGTCGAAGTTGAAGTCGACGGGAGGCACCGGAACCGCCACTTCCATTGTGACCGGCGTTGAATCTCCGGCGGGCTCTGCTTACGGAAGTGGTTGGGCTAGCTCGAGAATGGCGGAGAGGAGAAGGATTTTATAATGGCGGAAGGAGGGAGAAGACGAAGAACAGAGGAAGGAGAGAGGAAGGAGAGAGAGAGTGGAAGAAAATTGACTGAGGAGAGAGAAAGAGCCGCCTCATAACAAATCCATGACCACTTTTCAAAATGTGCCTCCAAATTTTGGATTAATTAAAATTTTAGGGATAAAAATAATTGATATGGGAAAAATATATATTTTTTATTATATGTTAAAATAATATATATATATATATATATATTAGTTTATAGTATATTGTGATTGTGAGGTAAGGCGTAAAAGTTTCAAATTTTCGACCAATACGAAAAATTATTAATACTTTAACCATATTAGGGTTGAGACCCAAGGACACTCATCCTAAAATGGATGATTCGATGCTGACTTAACATCAAATTTATTCTAGTGGTGTAAATTTGGTAATTCAATCATAAACGACTTCTTAGTTTTGTGAGTACAATAAATGAGGGGATGTGAAATCGAACCTCCAACTTTAAAGAAATGAGTAAAGTAGAACCTAACTGTCGAGTTATGTTCGGTAACAATCTCCTAATTTTAATAGTATTAAAAATTATATTCTTATAAGTTCTAAATTTAATTTTTATTTTTGAAATATGATATTCTTTTACAGACATATCTTACACCATCAAAATTGAAAAAGAGATAAAAGGAAATTAAGAAAATCTTACTACAAAATTTTTAGAATTCACATTTGTAATTGCCATGTTGAGGGTAAATTCGAGTAGGACACTTACTGGGTTGCGGGGACAAGAGCAAGGTGTGGGACCATAGACGATTACACACTGTACGTTATGCAGGAAGGTGAGTGCATCGCTACCTTTTGTTGTACCGCAAGGACTCAAAGCACTGCAACCTGACACTCACAAACTGCAAGTCGAGGGCCTACAAGTCGAGGCGCCACCCATTGATTGTCGGGAGCGTACACTCCACCGTCATGGCCTGGTACAACTCGGCACACGTCTGCCACCTTAACCATTGTCCTTCCTGATCGGCCATCCATGCTWAAAAGGAAGGACTACACCTTTGCCAGGTAGATGAAAAWTTTGTTACTGAAACTCTAAAGGTATTTACTTTTAGTAATTTTTCTACTCTGATCAATAACTCGAGCGTCAGACTATATTATGCAGGACACCGCACACAAATATTGATTTTTTCTGATTACATGCTCATTTGCTCCTGGGTTAAAGCACTCATCAGAAATCAGTGGTGATATATATRTATAATCAAAGATTTCAATGACAATTATTGTTATCTCAAAAAATAATAATATTATTAAAATTTGGAACTAAAATAGGACCTTTTAAATTTTATGGAAAAAATAGATAAAGAATAAATTTTAAGGATCAAAACAATATTTTAACCCTAATTATATTTTATTTATTGAATTGAAGATAAAGTAATAAGATACATTACTTGGTCAACAAAAGTCTTCTTTAATTAATTAAAAGCCCAATATATATTAAAGAGAAAAGAAATGTTTGGAACTATTAGCATGGTGACTTCAAAATTAATTTGTTTCTAATTTTAATTTTTTTTAACTAATTTTGTTTACTAAAAAWTTTATTTTGTAACTTATTTGAAAAATGTTTTTAAAAGTCATGGCCATCATTTCCAAACACCTTATTCTACTTTTCAAATATTGGATAAAATTTCAAAAAAAGAAAATAAATTATTACTATCCCATTTGTAAAATTAGGGAGAACATTTCTRATTCAAAATTTTCARCCCTAATTCTAACTCATCTCCAACCATTTTTTAAGGTTRAATATTGTCCTTGTCTGTTGACTTATGTTTTATTTTGTTCTCTAAACTTTAAAAATGTCCACTTGAGTCTAGCTTTTGTTCATTTTAATTTTTTAACTTTTAAATCTTCATTTTAGTCTCTGTACTCTTAAAAAAACGACCATTTTGACCTATTTTTGCAAAATTTTAACAAAATTTTTATATACTATARAAATGTTATAATGCACTTTATGGCTACCTTTCAAGAGATTGAATGAAGTGTTATACCAAAACTGTGATGGCAAGAAATTAGATAAAAATGACAATGAAAGGATCAAAATTGTACCTTTTTTGAAGTACAAAGACTAAAACAGACATTTTAAGAGTACAATAATTAAAATGAACTAAAATTGAAAGTACATAGATCAAAATAAACGTTTCTAGAGTATTATAAAAGATCAAAATAAACCAATATCGAAAGTACGTCGGTTAAAATAGTATTTAAAAATCTAACACCTATCATCATTCATCATGGGAGTGGTTGTAAAGTGAAAAGGCAGAGCTCCAAACTCATTGCTTACTTTTAACTGCATGCCAGCACCACATTTTCTTACTTTTGGACCTTCATTTTTTACTTCATATAATTTTTTTTTTCATTTTTTATTGGAGAAATTAAAGCAGCTGCTTAAAATCCAATTCTTTACTTAAATATTTATATGCTTTTACCTTTTGGCTTTATGCTTGAAAAATAGAAGACAATCAATACTTTCTTTCACAAAGGGTCCTTTCTTTTCCTCTTAAATTTTGTTTCTTATTATTGGTATATGGTTTTGATTGTGAGATATGATAAAGACTTGTACCCAAATTCTTCCTCTTAAAAAAAATCTGAGTAAAAATAAAGATAGTTTGAAAAGTGTGATTTATCTTTTACTGTGAATAGCGGAGAAACTCTTTAAGAAAATTTTTAGGGCATATGAGATTTCCATGAGATGGGCATCCAAATTTTCGTGTTTGTTTGATAGGAATGTTGGATATCCGAACATTCTAGAATGCTTATACGGAAGGCATCTGAGCAATTTTAGATGCCATAATGTAACATGGATTTTTAAGATTCCCGTGAGGGCATCTTTTTTTGACAATTTTGTTCCTCGTCATTTTTGTTCTATAATATTTTTTCATCAATAATATTTATTTCTCACTTATTTTATTTTAAAAATAAATATATGCACTAATTTATTGATAAATGTCTAAATACAATTTTATTTATATACTACATTTAAATGTAAAATAAACATGAGTCAATGTATAATATCTTTATTTATTTTTAACTCAAATCTAGGGTGCAATCTTTCATTTATTTTACTCTTCCAATAGTCACCAAACATAAACTAAAATTGACATAAAAATATAATATTAAATAAATGAAAGTAAAATTTTTATATAATTCAAATAATATTAAATTTACAATATTCCCACAAATAAATACTTTCCCAGATATCCTTATAAATTTTCCTACAAAACAAACGTGGTTATATGAAATTCAAGGTATATGAGATTCCAGCATCAAAAGATGATCTACATTCCCAAAAAACAAACAATCCCTTAGGATTTTGTAAATAGTTTTTTTAACTTTTATCTAAATTTCGGAAAGAACATGGAAAGAAAGTTCGAAGACCTTTTTTCTTTTTAGGTTATAAAATTTGGCTAGAATTCCGAAAATATTTTTACACAAAGTATGTTATAAAACAAAGAAAGCAATGGTAAATGAATTCAAGTTTTACAAACTTAATTAAGATTTTTTAAACATCTCCAAACAAAAAAACATTACCAAAGAATCCATATATGTATAATTTCATAAGAACGAAGAAGAGGAGCATGATGAAATTAATTAAGGTGTGTAATGATGAAAAGAAGGCAAAGTTGGGGATTCCATGCCATAAAAAAGTGATGCATTTATTTGAAAACAAAAATACAAACAAACAAAAAGAAAAAGTTAGAATAAGGTCTACATGCATATTCATGCAATTTAGAATATTTAATTTCTTATGATTACTTTCTCCTTTTCATGCGTGACATTTGGGGCTAAGAGGGGCAAAAAGTGTGACTACTGAGGTAATATAAGAAGTGTGAATAAAGAACGGCTCCTGTCTCGTGCTAGATTTATAGACAAATGGGTATACGAATGAATCAATATCAAACATCAAAATAAGAGAGTTTTTCTGGATAGTATAAATATGGAACAAAAAAAACTTAAAGAATTGATACGTATTATCTGTTGCACAAACACAACATTACAGTAAAAGAGCATATATGACAAAATAGTGTGACGTGTAAATACTGCAAACTATAGGGTCTAATTTGTAACTTTTTTTTTAAATACAATCATTTTGGTTTACTTTCGTAGATTATTGACGTAAGATTTGAATTTGGGCTTCGACGTTGAACATTCCAACAAACACTGTACATGCAAGGATTAGTTGTACACATTGGTATATATGGTGTTAAGCTCAACACCCGTCGATATCTAAGTTAGACAAACGACTCAATTTAGTTGGTTTGGATGGTCGGATGATCCGACCTATATGGCTCGACCTACGTCGTTTTTTTGAGTGAGTCTAGTACGGTAATTTCACCGCTAAGTAACAACGTGAATTTAGATTATCACGACTCTTTTTTTATTACATGATTTAAATACAAATTTCACACAATTAGATTATAAATTTAATAAATCCAAACTTATTAAAATGGTGAAATGTGTATAAAAGTCAATGACACGAGGGGGATTGGTTGGTGGCCAAAGTCCACATTTTCGGCCCAAGCTGGCCTCACTTTTTTTGTGTCGGATCTCATCTACCAATTTCCCTCTCCTACTACCACTCATTTTTTATTTCTACCACTTTTTTTTTTTTAATTCTCTTATTTTCTTTTGTTTTAATGCATCTTTTTCGTTCTCTAAAATTTTGGAAAATATTTTCTTTAATTTATAGGTCTCAAAAATTTATAGTAGTGATTGGTAGGAGTGTTAAAAAAATTTGATCAGTTGGAAAATTCAATCAATCCAATCTAAAGTGTATTGTAAAGTTGTTTAGATTAGGTTGAGTTTAAATAAATGAAAATTTTAGGATTAAGCTGGTTCAAATATTTACTCAAAATAAATTTGGGTTGAAACAAACAAACCCGGACTTATTATTAATTTTAGAATAATTTGTTTTTCTTGTCATAAAAGTATATATGGATATATTTATTTTAATTTTATTTCATTTAATACTTCTGCATAGTTTATTAATTTTACACAAAAAAAAAATTATAGATTATGTATTCTCCTACAAATTTTAAAAGTAATTTTCAGTTTTTTGTGTAATTTTCCATCCTATTAAATAAACATTAATTTACGTATTTTGATTATATATAGAAAAAAAGTAAATAGATATTTAAGATATTAGTATGTACTTTTCTTATACACTATTTTGAATGAATCATTTGAATAACTCGACCAACCAAACTCAAATAGTTCATGATTGAATTTGGTTAGGTACATTATTTAAGAAGAATTGTTTTTATTGAATAAATTTACAATCCGAATAATTCAGTGTGATCTAAAAAATACATCAACATAACCCATGAACACGCTTACCCTGCTCTACCTTGGTATAATGTGATAGTTAAACATGAGTATGTGTCATATTTTATTAATTTTATAATAATTATGTTGACGTAATATCAAAAAGTTAGTTACTTATGTACCTTTCGAGATTTGTTATATTAATAATTTTGAAATTTGAAATTTAAATTTTAAGATTTTTTTTTAATGTCTTTTAAAATTTAAGAATTTTTCCCTTTAAATGGAGATTATCGATGGAGATGTAACCATTGAAAGGGAGATCTGACAAAGAATTAAAATTTAGTTGAGAATTTCTTTAAAAAGTAATAATAAACCGCTAAAAAAAAACATGGAATAATTCTCTGTGGAGAACTCGATCCTGCGAGGAATCTCATCGAAAAAATTAGCCATGGATTGAAAAAGAAAGGAGGGCGGGGCTACCTCTTGGTATAACACCCTAACAACTAATAAGTATTTAATAAAAGTTCAAAAAAAATCAAATTTAATTGCTCTTTATTTTATTTTTACTTTTTTTTTTTTTTAAGTAAACCTACTCTGATAATAGTTTTTCCTTTAAAATATGATGACACTTATGGAAGCTTTTACAACCAAAATATCTCATATAAGTTTAAATTCTATTGTCATAACTTTTGTATTTACTTCATTTGAGTGAATATTCTACTTTAAAAAAAAATCGATTGAATATTCTATTTAATCTTTAAAGGAATATATTTTATTTTAATTTTGAACTTTACATGAAAAAAAATTTCCTTTTTTATATGAAAAGCTAATTTAGTCCTTTCCATTAATTTGTCGTTAATAACTAAAATAAAATCTCTTAAAATTTAGAAAATAAAATAAACTAAACACAAAAATTATTTAATTCTATTATATATATATAATAGCTAAATGTTGATTCATTTGGACCAAAATCAATACATATATTAACAATGTGAACTCAAAATATTTATAAATATAAAAATGACTCAATTATAACATGTGGCTGATTGATTCATTAAAGGTGTCCTTGATTTTTGTCTTATATTTTCTTTTGAATGTCAAAGTTTAAAAACAGTTGCATGTGCATCCACAACAACCCTTAAATAATGGGTCAATTGTGAAAATTCTAAAAAATATGGGGCCATGTAGAAAAGTTTCATCCAACACCTACCATATTGAATTTTATTTTTTTATTTATTTTTTGGGGACTTGAAGAGTAAATTTTTGTACTACTATGATAATATGATACAACAATGAGTCATCTCAAATATGATAGATTTAGGGTTTGAGAAACTTTTTCAATGAGATCTTAGACCTAGTTTTTTTTTGAAGTTTTTCCTTTTATTTTCACAAGTTTCTTGGAGTTCTATTTTTAAAATGTTCATTTTTCTATCATGATTTCAATACAACACTACACTGATCATTATATTTGTTGAAATGTTATATTAAAGAATTTTTCGTTACGTGTAGAATTTATGTTAAAATTTTGAAAATAAGAATCAAAATTGGCACTTTTGTTAGAGTATATAGACTAAAATTACACAAGGACCATTGAAAGTAGAAGAATCAAAATAAACATTATGAAAATAGAGACAAAAATGAACTACAGCTTAAAATACTATTTTAACCTAACATTGTTTAAAGAAAAATAACATTTTATTTAGAATGATAAATAATTAATCAAAAGAGTAAGTAAATTAAGACTCGTTTGGTAACGTTCCCGTTTCTTGTTTCTCGTTTCCAATTTTCTTAATAAATCTAAGCATTTTACAACTAATTTTATTTATTGTTTCTCCTTTTTTTAGAACATACAATTGTATAGAAATTTTGGGAACAATCAAAACAAGTTTCTTTTTTCTTGTTCTCATTTCCAATTTGTTCCAAAACATAAATAAAAAAGATTATTTATCATACTTGAATTCTTGGAGGTTGAAACCATGCAACACATTTTTCTACATTAAAAATAAAGAAATAGAAACAAAAAGACATGAACATTATCAATCGAGCCATGAACTTTTGTCAGTTTCAAGAACGGGTGGAATAAAAATGCCTGTGATCTTGTTACAGTTTCCCTTCCAAAAATAAAAGACTATTTCAATATATATATGTGTGAACTTTTCTCATGATTAGTGGGGTGTTAAAAATGTTGAGTGCAAAATAGAAGAAAAGAGATCAAAGAATGAACTGAATATTACTCGAAGAAAAAAAGAAAAGGAAAAAAAGAGGAAGAGAATCAGAAAATAAAGCTAAAAAATAACAGACTGTGCCACAGCCAAAATTGCAACAGAAGGGAATAAGGATGGCTCTATCCTCCTCCTGTGGTGATACTTGTGGCACAAAATGATGATGAACACTTGCTGAGGATGCTATATATACAGCCTTCTTCTTTAGCTTGCCTGCCTCTGTCCTGTCGAGTATCTTTCATTTACTTTTCCGGTAGTTTGCGAGTAAAAAGCTCTCATATGGGCTTCCGTGCAGTGCCTTCTGGACATCTTCCCAGTTCTCTATGTGGTTCGACAGCGGGCCTCGGTGTATCTTCACTTGGCGACTCTTCAACTTCCTCTGTGGAACCCTCAGAAAGTTTTGAACATCTTTTAATTTCTGCAACCACAACAAGAGTTCGTAAGAAAATGGCCCTCCACCAAAATGAGGAAGCCCAGATGGGGACTCGGTTCGTGGTTTTAGTAGTGTCTTACAGTGCGGTTACTAACTACGTCTTCGTAATACAACACGATGTGCCGAGTGCTCTTGAAGTATTCCAGTGCTTTGGTTGTTGTCTCTTCTACTTGCCTCAAATTGGGTATCAAGAGAGTGGCATTGATTACAGGCTTGTATTTTGCAAGTATGTTTGCCTGAAACATTTCTATGATATTTTTTTAGTGTGTTTGGGAGAGACTGGAAAAGAAAACAGATATTGAATGAGAGGATAAAAGAGCAAAACCTCATGGTGTGAATGCACATGAGACTTGTGAGTTCCATTCAACAACTTAGCATCTCGATCGTAAGAATTTGCAAGTACTGAGATCATTCTGCGTAGGAGGTTTCTTCGGAATAGGAAAATAGCAGAAACCCCACGACGTTTGAAGTACTCTACTATTTCTACATGGTGCTGCATCAACCCCTGCAAAGATAGAGATAGATACAAGCAAGGACACCGTTATTTTTCATCAACATGATCAAGGATTCAAGAGCTCAAAATAGCGACATGTCTCGGTTTGTGGTAACGCCAGGAAAGGTCAGTTCACCTCACCAAGAATAAACATAGCATGCATGTACATGATCCACCCGCACATTCAGAGAACTTGAAACTCAGGTCTTAGAAAATTCAAGGAGATTTGAGGCTAACACAATCTTTATTCCACGAGCAAAAGAATAATACTTTTATGAAGAGAAAAACAAGTAACATAGTCAAGGTCAAAGTCTCTTTTTCCCCCCTTTTTTTCTCGTCCTAATAAGAAACTAGAGTTCATTAAAAAGAATGGAAGCATCAGGGCAAGTTGCACATAATCATGCACACAAAGGGGTTACCAATCCGGTGAGTCAAAAATTAGGATAACAAGAAAAAAAAAAGGCGTATCAGATTTGGTGTAGCTAATATGATTTTCATGATCTATAGTTTCTCTTCTTTCTCTCTCTTGACCAATGCTCCCGCTTCCTTACTCAAAAATCCTCCATTGTGACACAGGTGTATCAAGATAGACAGTAGGTTGAATATAGAAAGAAGAGCTCCTATTCGACAGATTCCAAGCAACCCAACCTTAAAAAGTCCAGCATTCCCCCCAACCATCGTCTTTGACAGATTTTGTACTATTGAGATAAGACAACATATCCCCAGCCAGCATTATAACTTATAAGACCTGCCTCTATTTTTATTGGAAATTCGCAATAGATTGTACTATATTGCTTCTTCCCCTTAATACTTCCATGACAATATTTGAAGCTTGGCTCATACACCATCCTCAACCCCTCTGAAACTTGAGGGTAGAAGTACACAACCTTAATTTTCTAAACAATGAATTTTGTTTCAAAAACATAACTCCCAGATCCTGGTACGTTGAAAATCTTAAAGGGCATTGGAGTTTTCCGCATCGTCTAGTAGTCTAGGAAAGCTCGTCCAAGTTTGTTTAAACATAAACATCAACAAGACATGTACAAAAAATACAGTAGCTCGAATAACTGAAAGCATCAACCAAACTAAAAAATGCATCAAACACATTTAGCTACAGTGAAACTTTTAGTCTCTTACAGCAGAAATGCAGCAAATAATTAGTTGCAAATGCCAACCAGAATGAGTTGCAGCGTTCTATTATTAGTCCAAGGAGATATAGGAATAAAGACTCCATACGAAAAAGGTGTGTGCTTACACGAAATCATGATCCACATATAACATATAAAAATTAAACAGAGCAAAACTCTTTAAAAGATAAATAATTAAAGTACATTTGTTTACCCTACTGTCATAACAATTACAAGTTAGAAAAAAGGTCAATGAATGCAATTTTTCATGCAGCAAATATTCCAGAGGTGATACAACCAAGTATCAAAGGAGAAAATCTCCCAAGAACTCTAAACCAGAATATTTATTAATGATCAAAATATTCAAATACAAAGGATTAACCATCCACTTAATGGAGAATTTAAGCTAACTAATCAAACTAAGTCAATTAACTAATGACCACCTAAAACAATTAATAGTTCTAATGAAAATTTAAAAACTATTAATTATTCATATAATATGCTACATCAAGAGGCTCACTCATAACAGTGTTCTATGGAGGCGTTCAGTATTAGTATGCCACACAATAGAGATTGTTACTCTACGATGGATGAGGTTTTGTTGCATCATCTCTTTCACACAATAAGGACAGAGTTCTTTGGCATGCTTGTTCTTTTGCTATCTTGTGGGCTATTGAGAGAAATAATAGAATTTTTAGAGGCTTTAAGAGGTCTTGAGAAGAGGTTTGAGCTCTTGCTAGGTTTAATGCCTCTTTGTGCAGTTCAGTTTCTAAGGCCCTTTGTATTCACCAATTCTCTTTTGGATTGGAGCTCTTTTTAGTTCGGTTAGTCCAAGTCTTGTTTTAGCTTCTTTTGTTGGACCCTTTTTTCATGTCATTAAATATTCTCTCATTTTTCTCCATGAAAACTCGGTTTCTCATTAAAAAAAAAAAAAAGGTAATAAAACAAGGCATCAAAAATCAACTCGGAAACTAATCAAAATGGAACAATATTTTAGTGAAATAGATAAGCACATATATAATGTTATCACAACGATGTAAGCATCATGCAACGCAAGTGCTGCACATGAAAGTGAAATGTACAAATGAAACTAAATGAATTAAGAGTACAGTTGTTACCTGATTAAGCATCCACTTAAGGCCAACAGCTGCAGTGCACTCATTTTTCGAGGCACTACTAAACCAGTCCAGATTGTAAACTTTATCCAATGTTTCAACAATGGTTGAAATATTACTTCTCCTAACTTTAACCGAGAATATCTCTCCATTGGAGCTTATGTTAGTATGATTATTTAATAATGTCTCAAACCAACCACTGCCTGATCTCTGCATCGACAAAATGGCAAAATATCGAACAGGGTGGCAAGCGCACTCAGCCCTAGAAACGTGCAGAAAACTAAAAGTTATCAATTTATTCAACTTCAAAACTAAGTCAAACCACATAATGGATGTTTCTTTTACCTGCTAAATGTTGTAGGCTTAGGAAAGTGCACGAAAGGAACGTCTGAAGGATCAATAYGAGGCTTTGAACATGGCATGTCAATCACCTGGACTTTCAAAAATCCAACCTTCGAGCTGGTGCTAATTTGCTTCAGGCAAATTGAGCATATAAATACACCACAGACCATGGCAAAGACTAACACAATCATCCTTAACATCAATGGGGATTTCTTGGGAACCTTTAAAATAAAAGTTTCCTGCCATTATGAAAATCATTGTGATGCAAAAGCTACAGCCTATTAATCGGAGATTGGAGCCAAACAGATTGAGCTCCCAGACTTTCGATATAAAAGATTGGATAAAAATTAACTATTTTAGCTTAAAGGGTCGACATAGAATTACTCAAAAAGATCCTAGGATTCAACATGTACAAGCTACACCTTCAAAAACATGGTTTTCACAGGTGCAGAGAGGGAAAATAAGAATATAATAACCAATTCCCGGAGCCAAACAGATTGACCTCCCAGACTTCAATAAACATTAACTATGTTAGCCAATAGGGTCAACGTAGAATTACTCAAAAACATCCTCGGATTGAATATGCACATGCTAGACCTGTGCAGAGAATATAAAAACTAATTTATGTTCCCAAAAATAGAAGTATTGATCTCAAATCCTTGGTATAAAGAAATCAGAAATGAGAATGGGAAATCCAAGTTGGATTACGAGCTCGAATATAAATACGAAATTTCAGGAATAGAAGCTAGCTTAACCAACGCGCAGATCAAAGACTTTTCACATGACATAGATTAGAAATAAACTTTTTTTTAAAAGAAAAAAAAAACTCAAAGATGCTAATAACCCAGGAAAAAGACAATAAGACATGAACGTTAAAAGGGGTGAAATGTGTTCTTTTAGGCATTACCTTGGTCAAGAAACTGGGATCGTCCGCCATTGTTTAGAGGGTAAAAAGAAAAAGAAGGAAAAGGGCATTTGGGAGCTCAGAATCTTCTTCGCTTTGCCTTTATTTTCTTTCTGGGACTTCCCCCTCCCATCGCTCTCCTCTCCTCAGTCAAATAACAAAAAAGAGAAAAAAAGATGAACAGAGAGAGAAAAAGAAGGGGGGAAAGGGGGAAATCGAAGAAAGAGAAATAGTGGAGAAAAGGGGGAACAAGGAAAAAGAAAAATTTATGGGTTTTGAGGCTTTCTCGTGAAGAACGAGATGATTTTGAGCTTCGACCGTTGCAACCTCACTTCGTTTATTTTTTTTCTTTTTTTTTTCTCTTTTGATTTTGGTTCTTGGCTTTTCGGATTTGTTCAGCCTTTTTGCCTTGGACGCAGTCTCTCGTACGGCTCGGCAGATTCTTCATCTTCTTCCACACAAAACGACAGCGTTTTGCCCTCTCCTGCTCTGTCTTTTGCTTTTTTTTTTTTTTAAAGTAAAAAGTTCGACTTTTTTTATTTAAATAAATGAAGGTGGCAAATTCGTGCCGTCCAACTTTAAACAAATTTGATTAAATTAGGTTTAAATCTAGTTTTAGTTTTAGTGTCTAAATTTTTAAATTACTTATTATGGCATGTAAATTTATAGATTTGTTATATTCTGATTTTTGAACTTTTAAAATATATTTTTCAGTCTTTTTTTTATTCAATAATTACATGATGTGGATTAAATCATCATTTTTTATGGTAGAGTGTTTGTTTTTCGTGCATAAAATCTCTGTTTAAGCACGTASGATGAAGATGGGGAACATTTTGTCCCCGTCATCTAAATAGGTATGGGACGGAAAATACRTTCCCCATCCTCGTACTCGTACTCCTATTCCATTTTTTATATATTAACAAATTTATTATGATATGTTTACATTTTAACACTTTTATAGGGATAAATGAACTAAGATGAAATAGTATATTATATTGTTTTATTAGATCGTTTGATAACTTTTTTTTTAAATGAGAATTCTCCAAACGTATCTAGCTATGGATTTCACAGTATAAAGTAAACATTTAGTTATACATTTCTTTTAAAGAATTATGTAATTGATTAATTATTTTAAAAGTTAATAATAATAAAGGGTAAATAATTAATTTTCCACATAAAATCTTTGCCCCGACACAAAATATATTTTGCAGGGATGAGGATTGAAACGAGGTTCTCCATCCCCACRTAACAACTCTMGATGGTACTAGATGTATCGACAAACTATTATGTCCTAGTCCATAAATTTATGAAAAATAATTATTTTAATTCTTATCTTTATTTTATAACAAATCAATGACGTGACTTTGATTAAGTATATTAATATCTTAATGTGAATTTGTATTTGGACCACATAAATTGAAGGTGAATATTAAATTTGTGGATATCATAAGGAGAAATTTAATCTAGCAAGATTTATAATAGCTATTTTTAACAAATTTAAGAAAATGAAAATTTAAACCATTAAATATTAAATAATATTTTTAAATCCCGACATAAAAAAAAAAGGGAAAAAAAAACTTAATAAGTTATTACAAACGTGACCTTGTCTGATTATTTGTTGGATTTGGACTTTGACTGCGTCTTAAAATAGACATGAAATTTTGTCAACACAAAATAATAGTAATAGAGACGAAATTACATAAATAGCATAACAAAAATTTTATATTTTAATTTATAGAAAATTAGTTTTGAGCTTATAAAACTAGCAAAGAGATGAAATAAGGAGGAAAGGAATAATTTATTTTTAAGTTATATTTTACCATAATTGCTTATATAAGTTAAGTGTTACGTATGATGGAGATCGAAATTGTTCTTTGCAAGTAGAAAATTCCTTTTTTTTTTTTATTTTTTACTAGTAATGATCCGATTCATATCTGTAATTGTTGAATTAATATATAAAATGGCCTTAAATTTCATATATAATTTATTCTCTATTATGAGAATTGTGTATTAACAGTTTTTAATAGAATCCTATAGATTGTTTTTTTTTAACGATGAAAAATAATTTGGCTAGGTTTATTATTTTTTATTTTATTTGAGATCAAATAAACACTGCATTAATAAGAAATAGGACCATTAAGGATAAGTTCATAGTAGTGGTGATCACAGAGGTCACGAGTTCAAATTCTCTCACTCCACTTGTTGTACTAAAAAAAAGAATAGTGGTGATCCTCCACCACACCTATGTCGTCGCCCACCTTCTCCTCCGTCATCTTTGCCCTTGGACCATGGAAATCTTCTAAAATCAGGACTCGAAAAAGATGAAAAGTCATCCCAATAGATCACAAGCGAGTGCCTTCTCAAATTTGATACCTGAAAACTCTTTGAAATATTTTGATAACGAAGCTATGTTTCTTTTGATTTATTAGCCCCAATTGGCACTATCATCTCCCGATAGAAGGATCCTCGAAATCCAACCATCATCTGCCACCATAGAAACCAGCGGGGAAGAAGGATCCTCCCCGAAAATCTCCTCCAAACCAAAAAGAGCCCCATGATATCTCAAATCATGCAACTTACTCCTTGGAAAAAAGAAGAAGAACGACAAGACTACAACAAAATAGAGAGAAATGCAATCTAAAAAACTCAATAAAAAACTGAGAGAAAACGTGTCCTTCTTAGAAAAGATAAGGAGATGAGAGAAGGAGGCCACTGGCCACCCCCTCCCCATTAATTCACTTTCAATGAGCAAGCATCTAGACAGAAATGCAAGAATTTGGCTAGGTTGTCTGCAAATGATGAGGGGCTTCTAAAGTAAATATAAATAGTTTAAAAAAGAAGAGAGATGTTATCACAAGACCTGGTACATTTACAAAATTGGACTCTATATTTTTATCAAAAAAAATACATATAACTCCACAAACCTAATACATATCAAACAAAAACAAGTATAACTTAGTGGTAATTGACGTATATTTACAACCAAGAGGTTATGAGTTCGATCATCCACCTCTACATGTTGTGTACACGATGAGCACTTTAAAACATCTTTTTGCGATTTATTTTGTATAGACTTTTAGTTTAACGTTCCTATTCAGCGGGCGTGGTTATTGGCAAAACGCATTGTCCAAGAACGTGCTGTAGGAGTAACCCATTACCTTCTGGGTGGGATACTAGTCTTTCTAAATTACATTTTACATTTCACATAAAGAGGCAAACGAGACTCYCGATCAAAAATTGGTTCTATAGCACACATATTTTTGAAAACTCAAATGCTTGGAGGAAGAAATTTTGTAGCTTGGTGGGTCAAATTTTACGGTTCTTAATTCTTATCAGCAAAATTTCCCTTACAAAAGAGAGAAAAACAAAGAGTTTGAAAGTAATTGGGAAATATCTTGTTATCTCAAATTGTGAATTGACAGCGCAATCTGCCCAATTCTTCGATTGAAATTAACCAGAAATTTTCTCAGGCGAGTTTTAGCGCCACCCGTAAACCTCCCATCCTCTCACCGCCAGCCATTAAACCCCATCTCCTCTCTCTGGAAGCTTCATCAAATTCCAGTAATGGAGAAGTCGGTTCTACTCCGTTCTCTCTCTTGTTCCACTATGGTTTGCAATAGAATCCTCTTCCGCTCTGCTCACCGGTTGTCTTGCTCCACATTACCGCCGTGTTCGTCGTTTGTTCCGAGGAAACTACACCGTTTGAATCCCGGCCTCAGCAGAAGATCGTTGCCGCGTCGTCAATGGAGATTACTGCCTGCGTCTTCCCCTTCTTGTTCGCTCCACTTCAGAAAACAGTTCTCGTCCCTGGCTCCGCGTGCTGTCGCTGCTTCCCCTGCCCACTCCCCTCCAGGTTTGGTTTAATTTTCATTTCTGTTTTGTTTTTTTGAATTACATTTCAAACCCAGTTCGTGGAAGCAATTTCGGAATACTGCACTTGAGTTTTGACTTGTAGCGATAAGTAGACTTCAGCGTCTTTTTTATTTTTTCTGAGCATAGAGTTTGCTGAAGTTTCGGACGAGGTTGCTGAGAAGCTTGGATTCGAGAAGGTCTCTGAGGAGTTTATTGGTGAGTGCAAATCGAAAGCGGTGCTTTTTAGACATAAGAAGACTGGTGCGGAGGTGATGTCCGTGTCGAATGATGATGAGAATAAGGTCTTTGGGATTGTATTCCGTACACCACCGTAAGTACACTTTGAGTTTCGACTTTACTGTTTGATTGCTTGCTATCATTTTTCATGAAAAACCAACTGACGAATGAAAGAACAGAAGAGGAGCTATAGGAAAATACATACTCATTCTTAGTTGTTTACTTTAAATCTTAAGTTGATCGAGGCGCATCTAAGTTATAATTCTCACACAGGAATGATTCCACTGGAATTCCGCACATATTAGAACACAGTGTACTGTGTGGATCAAGGAAGTACCCAGTGAAGGAGCCATTTGTTGAATTATTGAAAGGAAGCCTACATACATTTTTAAATGCATTTACATATCCTGATAGGACATGCTACCCAGTTGCTTCAACAAATGCAAAGGTAATTAGTGATATGCTGAAGTCACAAATACAATTGTTGTGGTTGAGATGGGAAAACTGTTCAGTTTTCAGCAGTCTGGAAATGACTTTGTTTTTATCTGTAGGATTTTTATAATCTTGTTGATGTATACTTGGATGCGGTCTTCTTTCCGAAGTGCGTGGAGGACTTCAAGACGTTTCAACAGGAGGGTTGGCATTATGAACTAAACGATCCATCAGAAGACATATCTTATAAAGGTAATATCCTGTTGCATATACTCGTTGTCGTGCAATATTTTCTCAACTGGCACAAGAGAAAACGTTGGATTCTTTTTTTCTTCACTAAAGCTTTTCTTAATGGTAGGGGTGGTGTTCAATGAAATGAAAGGAGTTTACTCACAGCCTGACAATATCTTAGGACGTGCTACTCAACAGGCAAGAACCATTTTGTTTTTTTATCTCTCTTGGTTTTCTTTCCCCCTCCTAAATCCTGGAACCTTTCTTCATGTTGTGCCTGTAGTTTTGATCAGAAAAATGGTGTCTGTGGGTCTTTATGATTAGAAGATTTCAACTTTTTTATCCAAGTAGCATTACCTTTGCTAGAATAATCCATCATTGAAAGCTGGAAAAAAAAAAGAAACCTTAGAATACCAGCTCTAATTCCGTGAATATTACAAGGATAATGGAGCAAAAACTCATTTGCTTGTATGTCCATAATGGTCGTGTGCAACCTTCACTAAGAGTCATTTAGAATAGGAAAGAAAAGGTAGAAATGCTACCCTACCCATCAGAAATACAACTACAGACAGAAGTCAACATAAAACCAATAACAAATGTATGAATTAATCTTTCAAAAGCATATCCAGCTAGTAGCCACTTGATTTGAAGTAGATGGAAATGAGAGAAATTAAGAGCCCATTTTACAGTTTTCCTGGTAAAACAATGCTCAATTATGGCCATTCTTTCCAATCCCTTTAAATCTTGCACAGAACAAGAGCCATATAACTTCCGAATGTTGAGACATTGATAAAGAATTTTGAATCTAACCTTCTGAAGAGTCTTAAAGGAAGAGAAAATTCTGGAATCTTTCCCAGAAGAGCCTAAAAATATTTGAGTGTCAGTACATGGAAAGAGAGGTATTTCTCGAAGGGCCCTAAAAGAGCAGGTAATTCTGGATCTCACATATCTTCATAGGAAAATAGTTACTAGATTGAGGATACAAGAGTGTGATTGCTTGAAAATAGTATTTCCAAAATACTAGAGAGCTCTCCTGCAAATTCTGGTACCAACACCTTGCAGCCCCCTCATCTCGAGCCCAACAGTCTAGGTTAGATTTGAGGAGGAACTTTCCAAGGTTGCATTTTTCCTACGAACTCTAGGTTGGGAAGGTGAACACAAACAAAATATTGCTCCCCATCAATCTGTCCCGTAACTACTCTTTCCTTTTTGTATCTTGAGTGAAAAGGTCTATGTCTCCATTAAAAAAACCTTATTCTAGAAAAGATCATACATCTTATCTGTTTGACTTACCATAGTCGAGGATTAATTTGTGTTGAGAAAGTCATGCTTCTGATAAAAATAACAATAAGTACTTTTTCAATGTATTGGAGTAAGATGATARAACTATTCTGTTTGTATATATAGCTGGTTTTTCATTGATTAAAGTTTGGCAGGCTCTTTTCCCGGATAATACATATGGAGTTGATAGTGGAGGTGATCCACGTGTTATTCCCAAGCTCACATTTGAGGAATTCAAGGTTATTTTCTTAGCATACTATTATTGGAATTGATTTTAAGTTTAAAATGTAGTCAACTTTCTGTTTTCGAGATAATTTTTCTGACATGATCTATTTGAAACTGTTGGTTGGGCAAGATGGGCCTACATTATAAAATTGTAAATGCTACACACACACACAAATGTTTTTGTTTATGTATGTATATGTACATAAGCATATATTACTCTTGATGCGAGAAATAAAATTTATAAAGAATGATAAAGTACCAAGAATGTTACTGGCAAATGTAGCACAGAAGAGAGAACTGTAAAATGATCACTTCTTGATAAGTGTTGTGCCGATTGATGACTCAGTTACAAATTATCTCAATTATCTTTGACGATAATTAAAAAAAAAGGGTATATTTTAACTCTTACGTGCCTTTTGGTTCCAGGGTTGTTGAACTTTTTGTTATTTTATCTCTGTTAATTGTTGTGTTATAGTTGAAATAGGACTGTATCAGACCCTAACTATCCTTTTGTGCAAACTTAATATCTATCCTACTTATTTAGCTGATTAACTTTATAGAGCTGAATCTCAAGGATTATGCTAACTGATTAGTTAAAATTCTAAAAGGATAGTACTCTCTCTCTTCAATGATGTGCACGTACGTATGTACGATACCTTTCCCATTGAAGTTAAACTGCAAACCTCATTCTGCCCACAAATTCCTTCTGTTTGGTTTATCTTGAAGTTATATGTTCTCTTTTTGTGTTTTCTTATTCTTTAAACTTGCAGGAATTTCACCATAAATTTTACCACCCAGGAAATGCAAGGATCTGGTTTTATGGAGATGATAATCCTATTGAACGTCTTCGCATCCTCAAAGGTAATCAATAGCCAAAAAAAGAAAAATGAAAAAAAATTAAGGCAAGTTAATCTCCATGTTCATCATTTCCTTTTTAAATTTTAATGACGTAGGTTTTATTTGAATGGAAAGTGCAAAGATGTTTTTTTTTTTTTTTTAACAAGAAACGAACTTCTCAATTGAATTGATGAAAAGAAACATAAATGTTCAGTGATACAAACTCTCGAAAGAGTGAGAATAATGTAAAAAACATAAAACTAATATGAGGACAGAAAGCTCCCCAATTAGAACAAATAAGAGAAGGAGAATAATTCCCAAAAAGAGTTGACAAAGAACACCATTATGAGGCTTTGAATTTGGCTATACTAAACCGCTCATACGAAGATTTACGGCGGTCCTCAGAAATTATGAGATTCCTTTCAAACCATAACTCATAAAGTAGTGCCTTAATTGCATTAAGCCACAGTAGACGCCCTTGGGGAGACAAGCTGAAGCCGAGATGTAGTTGAAATCTACTATGACATTGGTATGAATATTCTTGAACCTGGTCATTGCTGACACCTTTTCTTTTAAATATTTCTTTCTTTCAACGAAACCATTTATTGTCAAAAGTGTGAATGTTACATTATTCTACCGAAATCTAGTCTTTTTCTTTTCTTTTTTTTTTCTCACTAAAAAGCGCACAAAGATAGTGAGACACCAACATGCACACATACAAACAGAGTTCTCATCACTGTGAAACAGTAAAGTAGCATATTGTTTTTCAAGAAAACATCTTTTCATTCATGTGGATCTTTACATTGAATTGCTTAACATTATTTCTTTTTGTCTAATGAAATGAGAATTTCCTTTTGGTTAAATTACAATATTAATCTTTTGTAATTTAGTCCCCATATGTTTTTAAATCTTTATTATTGTTCCTATCATTGGATTAAAACTTACTAGACATTCTTGCCATAAAGGAGGAATAACATAAACCAAACGTGACAAGTAATTTATAGGTGTGCATAGAGGAGCTCCATGACATTACATTTTATTTTATTGATGGAAGAGTTTGAGAAGTCATATTAGTTTAAAAACATGAATTTGGATTGAATTTAAGGCATTGTTTTGATTGAAATGGATGGGGGCTTGGTCTAATCCTATTTTTGAGGGTAAATAATAATGTTTGTTTGATTTTTATAACTCCTTTCGGGATGCAATCACAAATAATTTGTCACTTTGGATTTGTATTTCTCCTTATTAATTGCAATGGTGCCTAGTAACTAAAGTTTTTTTTTGTTTTCTGTTTTTTTAAATAAACCAAGATTTCATTGAGAAATATAAAAGAATATACAAGGGGCATAAAAAAACAAAAAACAAAAAACAAGCCAGGGTAACCACCTACAAGAAGAGACACCAATTCAAAAGAATCAATCCTAACTGATAATTACAAAAAGTATTGGAAACCAACACCCATAAAGAGGTATTAAATCTAACTAAATCTCAAATTTCTTCCCAAGACTCTCCACCCCGAAAAATTCTACTAATCCTCTCAAT